GAAAAAAACCTTTTCTTTTCTTTACTGCCGCAGCTCCGACTGATTTACCCACTGACCCACTTTAAACACAAGGATTTACTCTACTGTTTCCTTACCATAAACTACATTATTATTTTAACATGCACCCCTTTAAAATATAATTCATGTTAGCTCAAGACATGAGCACTGATATAGTTTTTAGTCTTTAAATGTACTGTGGCACCCAGCACAGGCAGAAGAGATGAGATGAAGGAAGCTGATTTACAGAAAATTATTGTCACTTTTCTTCCTGATAATTGCTTTAGGAATTGTTTCAATATTTTTAAAGCAAAAATTATTAAACAAAATCACTGGTTCCAGCTTTTCAAATTATTCGATACTAATCTGCAGATTAATCGGTAATTAAAATAAATGACAGTGACAGTTCCAGAGGCCAACATCTGAAGATGATCCACAGTAATTCCAACAGGATTATGACACTGAATAAAAATAGAGGCCCAGAGAGATCTTGTTTCAGAGGGGCAAAATATCAATTTATTTCCTCTTAGAGCTACCTATCAGTCTAGCTTGCTCTGGTGTGAGTTGCTGAGTGTTAGAGGTATTGGCTTTAGAGTTGTCTGCCTTCTCTCCAATATAATGGAACTACATGGCACTCAGCTTGTGGCGCTCAAAGCACCAAAAAATACATTTTAAAAACTGAGCAGCAATGTCTCTCTCTGGAAATCATGACCCAGTTACTCAAGATAGTCCACAGACCTTGTTGTGAGCAGTTTCACGTAGAAACTATTTTCTTTCTCCCAAACTACACCCGCCGACCGTATAACCATGCAGAAAACAGGGTACATCTACTGCTAGCTCACCTAGCACTGAGCTAGCTGATGTTATAGCTCAGCCGAGGAGCTGACACTAACACAAGCCTCTTGTTCACGAGTAGATGCACGCTTCCTTCTGCGTGGTGATGCAGTTGGCGAGTGTAATTTGGTACAAAGAAAACAGTTCCTGCATGAAACTGCTCACAACACTGTCTGTGGATTATTTTGAGTAACTGGGTCATGATTTCTGGAAAGAGACTTTGCCACTGAGTTTTGCATTTTGCATGTATTTTTGGTGCCTTGAACACCACGAGCCAAGTGCTATCATTACAGTGGAGATAGGGCAGACATCTCTACATCCAACACTCGGCAACATAGCACTACAGGTAAGAGGAAAAAAAATATTTTTCAAAATGTATTTTTGGGTGAACTTTCCCTTTAAATATATCATAGACCACTATGTGGTGTCATGGGAAAGACAGCCATGAACTGTTCTCTGTAACCTCTCTGGTTAGTTTCGTCAATACCACTTAAGGTTTTTCTGCTTTAAGCGGAAAGATACTGTCAGGGTCAGAGCAGCTGAGCTCAGCATGCTGGCTCAGAGTGAAAGAGATATCAGTGAGATTTCCTGTGATACGTGCCTCGATAACAGCCGGCAGTGTTAGTTTTGGAATTGATACTGTCTACCCAACAGAGCCGCTCATGACTTTCACTGATGCAGCAGATCATCCTCAGTTTGATATTTTACAATACAAGTATCAGTTACAAACCCTTCTGCCCCCCGCGGCTGGGGATGCTGTGGTTCAGCTTGTTTGGCCTCAGGCTGTCAGGCAGAGACCTATCAGGCTGTTGTTGTTACCTTATCATCAGGACTGTTGGTGCCCTGTTTGGTAACCTGACAGGGGAATATCTGTTCTCCATCTCCCCCCTTCTCCCCGTCCACCTTCCGCTGTCAATTTTCAAGGACATCCCCTTTCGCTTACAAGTTAGTGGTGTGAGATGAAACTCCACCTATTGGCTGCCAGCTGGCCAATAGAAGACAGAGAACATGTGTAAACAATGAGCTTAGGAAGGGATATGGATGACACAGAGCATAGCAGGGGACAGGTGTCATCTGTCACCTGAGCCTCAGGTGTATCTGTACATTGCCTCATGGGTAGGGTACAGCACACAATGATACTCAGGCTAATTTGTTGTGAATACTCAAAATAACTGAGCTCCTCGTGATGGAAATGTGAGACTTAGATGCACTCAACGCTGTTAATGGCTGAAAAGAGCATTTCAAATTGTTAAACACAAAAAAACTACACACACCTTTTGACCTTCATCAGATGTGATGCTGTTGGGTGTGGAGTCCTTAACCCTGGAATGTGGATCACAGATCCTGACAGACAACATACCACAGTTTTGCAGGGAAGCAATTGGATGGCAGCGGTGCAGCGTGTCCCTAAACAGGGCCTGTCCCTGACATCAAACCAAGCCCACTCTCCTTTTCTCACACACACAAATCAAAGTCTAAAAGTCATTCAGTTATTTATTTTATAGGCCTATCTCTAAACCACTGTTATTCAAAACCAATTAAAGGTGAGATACGTCATGAGTAAAACAGTTTCCTTGGAGTCATCTCAGCTGCTAGGTTACAACTATTCTGTAAGCTCTAGTCTACAGACACACTGCTAAAGAATTATGAAGGGAATTCCATCCACATTGTGTGTCAGTATTTACAGTGAATCAATGAAGATTAAAAAACTATTTGAGATTACCACTATTTGTGACATTGTTTGTGTAATGGTAAGTGTCCAGCCTGCTGAGGTGAACCTGTCACATACTGTATGTCTCAGGGTGTATGGCTGAACTGAACTGGATGTTCTTCTCTTAATTGGAGCCTGGGGAACTAAAAATAGTCTTGTTTATATTATCAATGAATGTACTGAGTTATTAATACAATAACAAGCAACCATGCAGCTTTATAACAATATATACATCTTTGGAAAATCTCACACAAGTTGAATTTCTAAATAATTCAGAGTTGATGCTGCTTTCATTGATCGGAGCCTGCATGTCCCAGAGGAAGTTGTGACCTTTCAGAAGGTTAATGTTTTGACATAGAGCTGATTAGATGCATCCTCAGTCACTTGGTCCCAGTACTGATGTTTATGACAAAAGAAATTTCATGAAAATTGGTTCAATAATTGAAGGACTTGTGTGTAAGATTAAGCAGCACCTTGCAGTGAGTTTGGAGCTTGCAACCAACAACATAGCGACCTTGGTGGAAGAGAATCTGCTCTGTACGTAGATATAAATGGCTCATTGCAAGGTAACTTAGTCTCAGGTGATTATACACTGATGACAACACAGTTATAGTATATTCCATTTCTGCCAATAGATGCCCCTAAATCCTACACACTGGACCTTGGATCACTGGAGTTGATTTTGTAGAGAAGTTTGCGTCTTTTATTACACACTGTATTCATTTACTAGCATATTTTGATTGTTCCAATATGGAAGATGTGCAGACGGATGTCAAATCATATCTGAAAGACAAAACTTTCCTTCATGCTTGAGGTATGGACTGACAGTCCTGATAACTTACCATCGTCAGCACACTGATCAGTTTGCATCTCCTCCAGTCTGGCAGTAAGTACGATATTTGGACGTGACGTAAGACTTTATATAGCACCCTCCCTCTCAGCCATTCAAATGCTAGCATGCCTTAACTGGTCGTCATTAAGACGTATTCTCTGTGACGTCACATTATAATTACCTAATATGTCTTCACTCGAAAGATTATACAAACAAGTTTGCTCAAATATCCATTAGGACAATTCTATCCTCCCAAAATATTGGTACTATACGTACATGTGACAAGCGACACCCTTGACTCTATTTAGTTTGGGTTATCAGTGCAGCACTTTGAGAAAAAAAAAATGGACAAGGACCATTGCCTTGAGGTGAAACATTTGCCACACCTTGACCTAAAGCCATTAAGGTCCTGTTCCTCTGTTTGTTCTCTGGGTCAAGCATGCGCTCACCCAAGCATCTTGTTCCATAATTTATATCTGTTTTTTTAAAATGTTATTATCATTACTCGTAACGACTCTTTGTTATTGGCTTCACCTTCCCTTTCTCTTTCTGATATATCACTTCCCAGTTGCTGTTGATGCTACACCACTACTCCCTCAGTGACAAGCCCCACTGCACTCTAACGCACTGTGGCGGACAGATTACTGCTGGGACTGTCATTCTACAGAGAGGAACCATTATTAAGCATGAATTATGGAGGAGGTTTATTACATTAGTAAGAGGATGTTTGCTGGTTGTTTGCTTTTATGGGTGTGTCTTGCCATCTCAGAACAGCGCCCTTGTATCTCTCTTTCTTACATGACTTTCATTGAATTGTACATTAGAGTTTAATTTCTCCCTCTCCATTGGGAAAACATGATGAAATGTTAGGAGGAGATTCCAGTCAGGGGTTATAAAAACAGAGATTTAAAGGGAAAGGGGTCATGGCATCTTTTCTAAACCAAAAGCCATGTCAGTTTTTTTCATTTAAAACATGACATGACAAGAATGAAACCAAATCATGTCTTAGTAGAAAAGTCTTTCCCCTTTTGTCTGCAAAAATAACGTAGTTACTCTGGGTACTTCCCAGTGAAGTACCCATAGTGTGACACATTCATTTGCTTCTGTAACTGAGCCAAATAACTGTCTCCATGCCTTGTGATGAACGAACAAGTGTGGATGCAACTTAATGTCAGTGCCTCTCTGTTTAAACAAAACCAACAGGTGTAACCTGCAGATGATTCAAACGAGAGAAAACACATCTGTTTATGTTGTCGCAGGCTCAGGAACATCAAATTCCCATTCAGGTGATAACAAATTTGCTCTTTAGACAAAGGCAGTCTGACGGTGATAAGTTCAAGCACTCCACTCGCGTTTGTATTGTGTTGAAGAAGGGGAGCGATGGCAACGTTTCCAGGCAACATAGAGATAAACAGGTTTCATGGACATCCATTGTACCAGGAATAATTAGCTTTGTTAGTGGAGAGCTCTCTAAGACATTCAGTCCTGAGATCAGTCTGTATCTCCTCCTCTTAATCTAATCATCAGGCTCAGAACAGATGAGAGAGCTCTTTCTGCCACATGTCCCAGTTTAGTACAGTCTTGTTGTCAGTAGTTAAACCGACCCTCGTTAAAGAAAAAGACAGGTTTTAAAATAATTTATTTTATTTAAAAAAGACCAACACAACCAAAAACAACAAAGTATGCGCATTAACAAGCAGGCTGTTGTGCATCAATCCTTGTCCATTCATACATTTTGCTGTGACAGAGAACGTCGTGCTTTGACACTACAGTATGTGCCTTCATCTCACAGTGACAACAAAAAGTCAAAGTAACAGGAAAGCTGAAGCAAAATAAATTATGTAATGTATCACTAAAAAACAAACAGAGAGCTTCTCTAGCATTTCTCTGTAACACACAGCACTACCCTGCAGTAGTGACTCATATAGGATGTCGCACACACTAAACTGAGCAGATGACCAAAGTTTTGATTGAACATAACTTAAATAACAGCTGTACAATGTAATGGTTAGACTGGCTAAGCTGGAACAAAAACAATACACCGTAGTAGGCGCTCCGATAGTTTTACTGTATTTACAGCCTGACAACAAAAATCAAAAACCTTCTCTACTATATTTCCATAAATAAATAAAAGAATCTCTTACATATTTACAACATCTCTTGATTACAATTTACAAATGTAAAAAGGCAACACCAGAGAGAACTTAAGAGAGTTTTACAAAGTATGTACAGAAAATATTTACAGTATTATGATGAGTAATCGCATACAATCACTTTTTAATGAACTACCTTCATTTAAAAAAGGACATTTTCTTCATTTTGGTTGACTTCAGAAAACTCAGCAGCTTTTCCATTTACAATGTACACCATCTGTGCTTCCCCACACTCAGTAACCTTGTTTGAAAATGGGTCACAATGGGAAATAAAATAACATAAGAGTATTGATTTAAAGGGAACCATGATGGCTGACAGCAGAGACAAATGTCAAAGATATGGGAACCAACAAAGTGTGCAACTTAAGAGGAGAGAAGGCCGCAGTGGAATTATGAAGGCCATCACTACCCGGGGATAAAACACTATAGCATTAACTATCACAGAAACTGCTGTGGAAAGTAGTGGGGTCAGTAAGGCATTTAGGCCCTTGTCTACACATATACAGACATTTTTCAAAACAAATATTTTCCCTCAGTTTTAAAAAAGTAATTCTGTCCACACAACCTTCATCTTACAAAATATCTCTGTCCACACTAAAATGCAAAAGCGCAAATGCTCTATCATTGTCTTCAACATGAGTGGTCTCCCTTCATCAAAAACGCTGTAAAGTGCACAGGCTAACATTACCTTCTTCAAAACACCCACTTGGATGTCATTACTGTTGATTTATTTTTGATATAAGGATGAAGGAGCTCATTCAAAACATACAAGTGGTGCTCTGCAAAACTTTTCCTTTCATTCCTCATCAACAACAATGCCACTCTTAAAAGTGTCCCACCATCTGCCAACTTTAAATGCGGAGAAGCCTCAATTTGTCTGTGAAGTGGTGCAGCAGTACTTGTCCTACAGTTTATGGGTAAAGTAATCATTAGACCAAGCAGTGCTAACAAAACATTAGCAAACTGGTAATCCATCATTGTTGTTGTTTCTAGTACACTTTACACAAATCAAGAATGGCATGAGTGTACTGAGGAGATGATGTCATCATTTCCCAAATGCTCCATTTTACAAATATATATATATATATATATATACACACAGTACCTGTATAGATAAACCTTCATCTCTCTGACCTAAAACTCAGTTTGTGTGTGGACGAGAAGTCAGTTAACGAAAATATCTGTATATGTACAGACAGGGCTTTATACACATCAATCAATGTCGCTAAATTGTGGATGGAAGGCACACAAGTGTTAAGACAGCATAGGTCAGGCTTTTTTGACTTGTGTTTTGTGTATTTAATCAACATACTGAGGCAATCTGTTGGTGGCGAAGTAAGACATTTTTCAGACAGCTTCAAAGAGTCAAAGCTCTGGGATTAAGAACATTATCGTCTGAACCACGGATTATTCCTTCATTTTGAAACCATTTTGTGGTCTGAATAAATGGCATCCTGTAGTTCTGCTACACTTGATTTTCAAAGATCTTTTTCTTTCTTTTTTTTCAGTACTTTAGTCAGACTTGGACGGCACAGTGCTGAGGTCAGAAACATAAGCCACAGAATGAGCTCACTGAGGGGGAAGGGACGGAAAGGGGCTGTTGAGCAGCAGCAGCAGAAAAAAGGCCTTTGTTGCTTGATTTTTGCATCAGAAAAAAAATCACTTTAAATAAAGCTCGTGTCTTCTTCATCTTGGGGTCATGCAACATCCATGTCCTCCATGCTCAACATTTGCCTCTGTAAAACAAACAAACAAACAAACAAAAACATTAAATAAGCAAAGCTGTAAAACTACATACTCACAGTCCATATTTAGAGACTGTATTTTATCAACAATAAAGTGTTCTGGTATCAAGGAGACGATACCTGAGGATAAACGTAGCCGTCAGAGCTGTTCCTGCAGATGTGTAGTTCGTCCTCTGTGGTTTTCTGGTACACTGGATTGTCAAAGTGGATGGTGTTGGTGTTCTTCAGACGCCAGTGTCTCCATAGCAACACAGCTCCAAAGACCACTAGGGCCATGATCACTGCAGAGCAAAAGAGCATTTCAAGGTCACTAGGTGAGACCAGGGGAAGCAGTGAAAATGAGTGTGGATTAACCAGTGAGTGAGTGAGTGAGGAGAACAGGCTGTGTGGTTGAATATTCACCAGAAAGCCATAAAAGGCTGAAATGTGGAACTTACGTATTGGCAGCACGATGTAGAGAGCAACAGGGTGGGATGAAGGAGCTTCTGCGGGCAAGGCTGCCAATCTGTTACCTGAAAAAACAGACAAAACGTTATTTTCTTTATGTAATTCAATAAAATAATGTGAGAACTCTTGTCTGTAAGGCAAATTCTCGATGAAGCTATTGCCAGAAGATGGTTAGCTTAGCTTATCACACAGTGGAGGCTACAGGAAATCACTGCACCCAGCCAAGAACATGTCCCACACAACCCCCTCCAAACCACAACTCATTAAACAAATGAGATATTACATAGTAATCCATGAGCTTTAGTTGTGCTAATAAGATGAGAGTTTTCCCCTGTTTCCAGTCCTTATGCTAAGCTAACTGGTTGTTGGCTAATATTTACTGTACAGATATCAAACAGTAATTATCCAGAACCCCTTCCTGTACCTTGAGCACTAGCAGCAGGCTGCTGCGTGGGCTGGCTAGATGAGGTAGTTGTGGGTTTTTTGGTCACTATGGTGGTAGTTGTGGTTGTAGTTGTAGTTGTAGTAGGAGTAGTAGGGACAGGCTGCCTTGGTTTTGCAGGTGGCTTGGTGGGAGCTTTGGGCGGGAGTGGTGTGCCAGTTTCTTCTTTGGGAGGAGGGGCAACTGTGGCTGCTGGGAAAGTAAATATAAGGATTACCACCATAACTCAATGTCAATTTTCAGTTTATTCATAGTGCCATGTGCAGGTGACACCTACCTGTCACACATTTCCTCATGTCAGGTCCCATGGCCATGTGGTCAGGACAGACGCACGTGTATTTGGGTGAGTGTTCGTTGATCAGAGGGGCAGGGAGGCACAGAAACTCGCATCCTCCATTCAAATTGTTGCTCTCTCTGCACCAGTTTGTACCTACAAGAGAGAAAGCATTAGAAATCAGTACATGCATGTAAAAGTTTGTTACGATAGCCGTCAGAATGAGTGAGGTTTGTGTACCAATTGGCTGCTTGAGGTTGTGGTACAGTATGATGTCCTCTGGCTGGACCAGGTCAGATGCCAGCTGAGTGATGTCATTCCCTGTCAGGCGACTGGCACTGAAAACAGCACTGTTGGTCAAGTCTGTCCAAAACACTTTCTCCTGTAAAAAGAGAAATGCAACTTGAGTAATACAGTTTCACAATACTTCATTTAATATTCATTTGTTCAAGTTTCCTCAGAAACAAATGGATTAATTATTCATTTTGAATCGGCATCACTGATCTAAATTTATAGGTAATAAAGTGTGCACCCAGCTCTGGCTTCTTACTTCTAAACCATTTCAGCTTAATAACGCTCACCATGCATGAACTGGATTGCTGACTGGCTGCTTTGAAATTAAACACCTCTCATATCCACCTGGGATACATTAACGTCGTCACTAACCTCAAAGACGGTCAGAGAGAGGGGGTGGGCAAGCTTCTGCTCGCTGAAAACGACACTGTGTCTTGTCCCTCCGTTCACATCAATGCTGGAGAGAGTGTGCATCTTGGAGTCCACCCAGTACAGACGCTGGTTGACCATGTCTGTCCAGAGAAAGCAGAAAACACAACGAGGCATGTTATAGATATCAGACTGGTAGATATAAATGTGTGCTAATAATACAGTGTGAATTGGTTTCCATTTAGTGCATCCTTTGTCATTCTGCTTACCCAGGGTGATGCCATTGGGCCACATGATGTTATCTGTTACCAAGGCAACACGATCTGCTCCATTTAACCCGCTCTTCTCTATCTTGGCCTCCTCACCCCAGTCTGTCCAGTACATAAAGCTGAAGAGGACACAGCAAAGCTAAAGCTCCAGTTGATCCCAAACTTAAATGCATTTCAGCAATTTCACAAGTCTGTCTCATATCTGCAACCTGTCTGAAACTTCCACTTACTTATTTACAGGGTCGACTGTGATGGCTCTTGGCTTCTGCAGGTTCTCTGTGATCAGGGTCTTCCTCTTGCTGCCGTCTGTTGTTGCCACAGAGATTGTCTTCAAAATGCTGTCAGTCCAGTAGATGTTGCCATGGATCCAATCCACCGCAATGCCCTCTGGGGCCTCGATGCCACTGCCAATTACCACAGTATGGTAAGAGGAGTTACCGGCCATGTCTATGTGGGAGCTGTAGGGAGACAGATGAGGGAGGACAGATTCACTTTAGAGACAGATATTGCATTCAAATCAAATACAGAGTTATAGAAACAGGCTTCGTTGTGCAGCAAAAGAAACAGATCGGTGAAGTTTCAGGGGTGAACTCACAAATAATGGATTGCGGCTACTGATAGCACCATGAATTGCACATCATGTGCAACTGCTATCTGCCCTGTCTCAAGGTCTGTTGCACAAAAGTTATCGCGCTGGTGACATTACACTACACACACACCCGTGATGCCTCTTTTGCGTCTGACTTCAGGCAACTATTTGCTTGGCAGGGCAGTAAGGGGTGCTTTGAGAATTACACTATTTCTTTTTGTCTTATTTGTACAGACGTCGCAAAAGCCATGCAATCCTTTGATGAACTGAGTCTTTCTAACCTGTAAATTTTCTTCAGCGACAGGTCAGACCAGAAGAGCATCTTGTTCGGTATATCCATGTCCAGAGCCACCACATTCTTTAGCTGGGGGATCAGACGAACGTAATCACTGCGGTCCGCCGCCATCTTCCTCACCTCGTGTCTATTGGTGAAGATGAGGGTGGGCACGGTGCCTGGAGGACACAGATGAGAGAGTAAGGAAACATTTTTCAGATAGCTCCACAAATCTGTCAACTGTCAGATGAGACAGCTGCTCTTGAGAGTAAGTTCTGGCTTTCTACCAAACATTACCTAATTCAGCCCTGCATGTCTTGCTCACGGGGTCGATCTCATAGCCCTCCTCGCAATCACACTTGTAGCTGCCGGGCAGGTTGATGCAGATCTGACTGCAAGTGTCTGGCTCAGCACATTCATCGATGTCTGCAGGTGGAGGAACAGAGGGTCAAGGGGGATATTGAAAGACAGCAGATGGCAAATAAATCAAGTTTCTAATACTGTTTTCTTAAAAAATATGTCCACAATCCAAATCTTGTAATAGCCTCATCAGACTCAGTCCTCTCACCTTCACAGGTTTTCTTGTCCATCTTCAGCCTGTATCCAGCTGGGCAGGAACAGTTGTAGCCAATCTTCATGTTGTTGCAGAAATGGGAGCATCCACCATTTTTGGTCAAACACTCATTGTTCTCTGTGGAGACACAGACACACAGAGCTTTTAAACAGTATTCATGACAACCATTTTCCTAATGGTAGCTCGAAATGACGATTAACTCACTTATTCAAACCACAAACTATCTAGGCCGCTCGGCAGCTTGGCCAGCTTGTTCCTATCATATTTTCCAGGCTGTGATGTGGTTTCACTTTTTCTTTTTCTACAAGCAGCAATGGAGCCTGAGAGCATACTGAGAATTTGATACATTTCCTGGTCTGATGATTTTTGACTGTTGGGTGAAGGGTAAAATAAGCCTTCACTTACCACACTCATTGCCAGGTTCATCGGACCGGTCTATGCAATCTCTCCGTGTGTCGCACACTTTGTCCATGCTGATACACTCCCCGCTGCCACACTGGAACATAGTGGGACCCTCGCATACATTTTCTGTGAAGAAGAACAGTGTGAATGTAAGTGTGATGTAATAGTATGAGACTCTTTTGCAAAGATATTACGACATTTCTGTGGGTTTTAAGGAAGAAAATATAAGCATCTGTTTACAGCAGAGGTTGGACCAAGTCAGTGTTTTGCAGATCATAAATAAGTCTTAAGTCTTTGCACTCAAGTCCTAAGTCAAATTTCCCCCCTGGGTGATCAATAAAGTATATCTTAAATCCAAGTTGTAAACCTTGATTTTCTAGTCCCAAACAAGTCATAATTTGCTTTTATCCAAATATAATGCCATTTTAACAACAGAGAAACATTAGCTAAGTTCTAGCTCACTATGTTAATATTTGCCTTGACTTACCATTCTTTGTGCAAATTTAAATGTCAAACAAAGTTGGAAGCTGTTGTGCTTTTATCTGTAAATTTCAACCCATGTGTTTTGTATACTGGGTGGCATGGTGGTGCAGTGGGTAGGAGTGCTGCCTCACAGCAAGAGGTTTCCTGATTTGAACCTGCCAGCTAGTTGAAGCCTTTCTGTGTGGAGTTTACATATTGTCCTTGTGTCAGCGAGGGTTTTCTCAGGTTCTCCTGCTTCCTCCACCAGTCCGAAGACATGCAGGTTAGGTTAATTCATGACTTTTAATTACCCATAGGTATGAATGTGAACCTGAATGGCTGTCTGCCTCTATGTGTCACCTCTGTGACAGTCTGGCGACCTGTCCAGGGTGGACCCCGCTTCCTGCCCAATGTCAGCTGGGATAGGCTCCAGCCCACCCACACTTAACAGGATAAGCAGTTATGGATAATGAGTGAAGAAATACATGAATGTTTTGCATACTGCAATTTGTTTTTTTGTTGACCACCACATAGTTTTTGTTCGCCAGCAAAATTATCTTTGGTGTCATTCCAGCACTCAAATGTTCTTTATGGTTCTGTCCTTCTACTTGATTGGATTCTGTAGAGTTGGTTCAAATCAAAGAAGATCATTTGGAGAATTAAGTGTCGACTCGCTGGACTCGTTGATTCAGGAGATAAAAGGAGATTAATTGATTTGTGGCACTTTTTTTAAATAACATACTTTTAAATCTTTGGTCTTGGGGGAAGGTATCAAATATTTTTGGCTCAAAAGGCTCAAGTCCAAATGAATTCAGGAGTCATTGTTGTTAAAGTCCAAGTCAAGCTGTAAGCCTTCTTTGATTTTGTAATGTCTCAAATCATTAAATTTGTGACTTGAGTCTGACTGGTATACAGTTGAGCGCGTTGGTGAAATAGTCACCTTTTTGGCAGTCGGCTTCATCACTCTGGTCCCTGCAGTCAGGTATTTTGTCACATTGGCGGCTGCCATGGATACAGGCACCATCATTACACCGGAACTCATCTGGGCGACAAGTAGGGCGAGCTTAAAAAAAAAAGAAAAAGAGACAGTGAAATGAGACAGAGAGAAATGGAAGAAAAATCAGATGGCATAGAATGAGGAAAAAATCCTCAATGACATTATTTGTTGTGAGTCTTATGTTAACACTGATGATACTGAGCAGGATTCCAACAGGATATTATGTATTCTCAAGCACGAATGGGCTACATCTGTTGGGCACAGTTTTGCTATTAAAGTAAAAACTAAATATGAGCCAAAGAAGCGTTTTCAGAAGTTTGCTGAAGAGAAGATGGATGGAATGGAAAAGCTAGGGAATTAATAAGATTTACAGAAAGCCAACTTACTGCAGTTGACCTCGTCCGATCCATCCCGGCAGTCATTGGCTCCTTCACACCTCCAGCCACTGTGGATACAGTCCCCATTTGCACACTGGAAGTAGTGGACACCACAGAGTGCCGGCGTCTTCTTGGGCTCCTGTCCCACACAGTTCTGTGGCCACTCATCTGACCCGTCGGCGCAGTCCTTGTCTCCATCGCAGCGCCACGTGGCCAGCACACACACTGAGTTGTTGCACTGGAAGGAACCAGAACTACAGCTGGGTTTGGGGCAGGAAGCCTCATCTGAGCCGTCTGAACAGTCGTTGTCCCTGTCGCAAACGAAGGACTTGGAAATACATTGGCCGTTGCCACAGCGAAACTCACTGGCGCTGCATTGTTTGGCCACTGTGGTGCAACAGGAGAGGGAGAAGAGAGGAATTAATATGATGTTAAAGCTAGATATGATTTAGATGTGAAATTCACACCAAAAACATCAAAACAGTAGAGTTATTTATTGTTATAATAACATAATGTTTGGGGCGCCCGGTGGCTTAGTGGGTAGAGCAGGTACCCCATGCACAAAGGCCCCGTCCCGTGGACACGGGCCCGACCCCAGCCTGTGCCCCCACGCCCAACATCCACCCCATCAATCAAAGGCAAAAAGCCAAAAAAAAAGATCTAAAAAAAATAATAACCTTGTGTTTGTTTCTAAATACCAAACACTCTGTGGACATCAGGATTTTAGCCATCATCTGATTCCACTCTTAAAAATGCAATTTTTGAATTACTTACTTATCTCCTAACTATATTGGTAATGATTTATTTCAGTACACTGTTGTATTTATATGTGGTATATCATTATCCTCATTGTATGGTAAATGCACATAATGTATATGGTTTTCTATTTTTTAAAATTACTTATCTACACCATGCATCTATCATTGTACTCAGTTTTGCTCCTGTGACACTTCTGACTTCTGTTTCGCTGTGTGGGATCAATAAAGTGTATCTTAACTTATTTTAAACTAAATGAATTCAAATTGGACACCATACTCCTGCAGACAAAATCAGGAAGTCACTTGTTTAAGTATGTTTTGAAAAGTGTGAAATAACTAGGCTATATAAAACTTACTGCAGTTTTCTTCATCTGCTCCGTTGTCACATTCAGCCCTGCCGTCACAGTGCCAGCCTCCTGGTATACACTGGTTCCTGGGAGGGCCGCAATTGAACTCTGTCGGCAGACAGGTTTTGGTTGCTGAGGACAGAAACAGAAAGTATGACTGATGATCACATGTATCGACAAAGAGTTAAGACCTACGAAACAGTCAGAGTATGTTAAAGAACTGAACAATAAACTATTGTTGTTCAGTGGCTTCACTGTTGTAAATGATGTTTATGGTTTGATGTGATAAGCAGGTCAAGATAATGCTTTCTGTCATATTTTGTATTAATATAATTTTGATTAATATTTATGGTCATGCCATGTAGAGCTCCAACAATTAGTTGATAAATCTATTAGTAAATTAACAGAAAATTAAAATTTAACAAAAAATAATTATTCTTATCATTGCTTTCTTCATTTTTAGGCAAATATTCCCAACATTTGCTGGTTCCAGCTGTTCAAATGTGCAGATTTGATTCTTTTCTTTGTCATTTCAGATAGCAAATTTAAAATCTCTGGTTTTTGAATTTTTGGTCAGATAAAACAAGCAAACAGAAGGCATCATGGTGGGCTCTGTGAAAAAAGTCACAGGCATTGTCACAACTTTAAAAAAAAAAACTATTACTTTTATAGACAAAATAATTGATTAAGAAAGTAAATGGCAGATAAATGGATAATAAAGACAATCCCTAGTTGCAGTCCAAGTACGTGTACTTAATTTTTTCTTTATTCTTCAGGCAGATCAAAGTCATATCAGTGATTAAATTACCGCAGGTTGCAGGCAGTTCATCAGTTCCATCACCACAGTCGTCACTTCCATCACAAATCCACTTGCGGGTGATGCACCTCCCATTTCCACATGTAAACTGAGTGGAGCTGCATGTGTAGACTGCATCTGTGAATGATAAAAGCGCTCGTGAGCACCTTGTAGTAACGTGAGCTTCAGTTAACACACATAAATATAACTGGTGTCACTGTGAGGTTAATATTTAACTGAAAATTACACACAGGACAAATGATTACTATTGAAGGCCACTGGTGCGAGTGTGAAAACCACACCTTTACTCTTGTCAAACTAAGAGGAGATTACCAAATTAAGATAACAACACCGTGTGGTTCCCAGACTTGTGTTAGAACAAGATGTGAAGTAATAATTTGGATGCTGGATGTGACGTGTTTAGACAGAGGAGGCCCTTTCTTGGCAGAAAAACAAAATTAGTAGTCCTATGTGTCATCGTTCTCTCATGATGCACACATTGGGAGTCATACCCACAACTCAGTTAAACCTCTTTTCATTTCACTTTACTTTTGGACATTAAAGTCCATATTTTACAAAAAGATAACAGAAGAAAAAACAATAAATTAAAAAGAAAAGGTCATAAATAAGAGGAAGTCAGACGGAAAAATATTTATTGGATGTACAACAGTGTGTTTCATTGACGTTGTAACTTTGGTGGTAATCTCCACTCATTGCTCATCTACATCTTTGGTCCACCTACAGGTGAACTCTGAGGTGTAGCAATCATTAAGTTATGAAAACCAAGTTTAACCCAACCACACGCCTGTTTCTCATTGTTTTGACACATTTCAGGTATGGAACACGACTCACGCCTCTTTTTGTCACACAAGTGGCAAGAGCCTCACTTCTCCGCTTGAGCTTTGAAAGTTTGAAGCGGTTTCGACCTTAAATTGACCCCAGTTTATTTTGGGCTCAGAGGTCTTGCCCCGAGGTGATCACACCTCAACAAAGTTGCCAGTCAAAGCAAAGAGGGCATCAACATCAAGGTATGTGTGAAACCAACAACGGCCTTTCACATTCAAGTGTGTTTCATCCTCCATCACCTCTACATCACCAGTCTCTCCTGAGACCTGGAGGCTGAGGATATGACAGACTATCCCTTTAAGACAATGGCATAGGAGGAGCCTAATAATCACACCACCAGTAGCTGATTGGTCCCAGAGTGACATTCCTTATAACAGCATCACTACGGTGACCCACAGACCGAGGTGGAGACTCTAAGCACAAGAATGTCTGTCAACTTGAGTGTGTGAATGAGTGATGACAGTTAAAGAAAGACAGATTGTACAGGTCTGATGGATTACAATAGAGTGGTAATTCAGGAAACTGTCAAACGTGGTGAGGATGCTTTCTCAATACTGGGCTTGCCACAAAGAGTCACCTCCTTCCTGCGTTGAAAATATAAAACAAGAAGTGAGACATTGACTGATTCTCATCTTTTGTTTTTCTTGGGAACATGAGAGGGGGCTATTATGCTCTTCCTTATTTTCTGTCATGAATATAAAACATTACAACGTCAGATGTTTATATTAAACATCATTAAAATAATGACGCAAATATGTGCAAAAGTAATCCCTGTGAGCAAAAAAACTCAGGCTTCAGACTGTTCTGAATATTCCAACCTTTTTTCTCCTTTCAAAACGAGCTGATGTCAGCTTGTGATGGATTTTTTTAATGGTCATCTGCTCCAGGCACGCTACTGCCAATGTTTACATTACATAGGCTACACTGCTATATGTAGCCACTTACTAACATCATGGAAACATGTAAACTTGGTTGCCAGTGTTGTTGACTTCTCCCTGATTTCAGATCATATTCCTGCTGGAACGTCTAGTTGTGAAGATTTTGGTATAGGAACTTTTATTGGTGAATTTTCATGGCGGAAAGTGCCGTTTTCCCCCGATACAGTCACTCCTCAGCAGTGGATGCAGATGGTACGGAGATGCCGGGAGCACAAATGTGGAAGATCTGGAAACACTAACCAATCAGAGCAGACTGGTCTTTTTCAGGAAGGGGACTTCAAGCAATAGGCGCTAAAATGGAGTATCTCAGACAGAGGGTGAATACAAATGTTCAAGCACAGAAAATAAAGTGTTTTTGAACATTACAGCATGTGAACACATTCTACCCAAAATACAAGTATGAACCTAAAAATGAGCCTAATAGGTCCCATTTAAAGTTGATTCAAGGTTTCACTAATTAAGGGAAAAACTTTGGCTGATGCTGAGAGGCACCTCCCGTGTACCCCACATGCTCACATTTTCAGGGAAACCACGTATACGCACAATCGCTCACACATGGCGGGGCGGCCAGGCATGCAGCCTGCGGGGATTCCAGGAAAAGAGTTTCCAAAGCATACTTCAGCCTTTCCTCAAAACATGCGTTGGCATTCAGTATGTATAACAAAATAAAACGAGTTTATTGCATCTGTTGCTCACTTTCCTTTTTTGAGAATTGTTCATTCATTCCAGTTGCAGAAGAAAAAGCAAAACTGGGACAGACTCTGACCTCCAAACTCCTGACCTCATCTCTGAGGGTGGAGACTGTTAACTATACAGGCCGTTTTTTTTTGTCAATTTTCCCCCACTAATCTTTCCTGCCGCTTCCACATATGGGTCATGAGCCTCCTAAGAATACAGTTCAGCAAGAGGACATTTCCTTTAATTCTTTACAGGAAGTCTTTTCTGTGGTGAAAACCTCAGGTTTAGTTTGACTAAATAAGAAGATATTAGTTATTTACTGTTTTGTCACATTAATCTTTCGACTTAAGTATTTTTAAATCACTATATTTTTAAAGATCTACTTCAAATGTTACTTAAATGTGATGTTGAGCATATTTTTGGTCCTTGTAGCTACAGTGAAAATGAAATTGGGTCACCTACACCACAATCGTATTTCCTCTCACACTTGCAAATGTGTTGGGCACAGTTGAGAAAGTCAAAATCTACTGCATGCATGCTACTGCTGACATTTACACCTGCAGACAGAGAGCTGAACACAAAACCACAAATTCAAGTCAGGAGACCTGTTTGAAAAGTATAACAAGCAGAGTGCATTAATTGCTCCTGCAGAAAAAATGAATCATCTACCTGCTATTTATACCCACAGTGTGAACCTGACAACCAGCAAACCGCCCAGCCATAACACCGTCATGTAAGGCCATTCGAGTACCGCCTCAAACACACACCAGACTGCTGCAATTCACTCCAAAATGTATGAAAAGCCATGCTTGTCTGACAGCAGGAACTGGCCGAATGAATGGCAGATACTCACAAGAGGTTAAACAAGCGGCCGTCGCAATGCTGCACGACAACAATCCCTCTTTGTAATCACATGTGACTTTGTCTACTAACAATGCATTCCTGTCTTTTTATGGCACATGCATGCAGTGCGCACACACACCAAGAACCTTCATAAAGAGGTGTGTTTATTGACTCAAACATACAGTCAGCAGTTAATAAATAACCAGGATACATGTGCATTATGAGGAGCAACTTCTGCTTTGGATCTGAGTACATACTGGTTCAGTAATCTACTGTTGCTACACAATATTGAGACAAACAGTAATGTGGCCAAATTAAATTTGATTCCCAGATGCCAAAAACACAATCATCTTAGTTAAAGACTCTGGGCAGAGACAGTGCAAGACTTCAACTTTCAGACTTGATAATGAGGTTGCTATCTGCATCAAACTGCTGCACATTTCCTCTGCAGCATGTCAGTATCTCACCCCTGCACACTTCAGTGAATGGGCAACGCCAGCCTTCTAATTGTACAGCATGCTACGGAGGTATTTCTAAATTATTGATAGATGAAAGTCTTTGTAGGTCACCACAGTCTAAAAGTTTACTCTTCCATACTTCTTTACTACAGAGCATGGCCTCATTTCAGGAGTACCATAAACACAAAGTGAGTACATTAAACAAACCTGAGCCCGACCTTTAAACAAAGAGAAAGAAAGTGCATGTGAATATTTCCCTCACACACACACACACACACACACACACACACACACACACACACACACAGACACACACTACTAGATCAGATGACTGGAAGTGAGTGCCATGAACTGGAAAAAAACTTTAGCTTTAATCTAAAAAGCTCTTGGAGTTGAGTTGAGATTATCAAGGGATTACAGGCTGGCAGAATGGGGCTGAAGCCAGGTTCATTCTCAGCACATTTTTGGCCTTAAAGGGCATTCAGTTCACTCCTTCACCAGTCGACATAGTTGTATAACAATAAATGGCATATTGTAATAAGTCATTTGTTGCTAAAATTGAACGGTGATGATGTGGGGCTAAAATTAAGCACAGTTTGAGTATTCAATTAGTCATTCAAGTGTCTGTCAATGAGGTATTAATAGTTGATATGTATGACTCACCACTTCTTACAGGGGAAGCGCTCCAGTTTTCAAAATTCATACATGTTATTCCTATGGTCAAAAACACTCCAAAAATATCAGTAAACATGAACATCTCTCTCCTAAATCCAAAAACTAGAGTGCTAAAACTCAACTTTGTCATGTCATAGGGTATGAAGCCTGGAGCTGCTCCACAGACATTGAATTGTGAAAGATCGTACGAAAATGCAAACACAACAGTTTGTATGATATTCTATGAATTAATGCCCCACGGATGACATTATGTCCTTGACATTAAGTCACGTAATTAATGTAAAGTTACAGAGGCTAGGTTCACACAAGTGAAGTTACTGTGGTCAGGATTAGGAAAGAGACATAGTGATGACATAGTGACAAAATTTAAAATGACTCAAAGTTCATTAAAAGTTATTGCTTGTGTCTCCTGGGGAAAGTCTGTATTTTGTAACCCATCCACCACCCCAACCTGCCTCCTAAATGAACCGCTCGGGACCACTTCCTTCTTTACTACCGTCAGTGCATTGGTCACCTGATCGCAGCCTTCTGAAATAGTGACATTATGCACAAATTACTGGTTCAAGATATGCATTAAATTTGGTGAACTGCTGTGCGTGAGAACAGCCTGACCCAGGGCAATGTTCTGTCTATATGGGTACATTCTCTGGCTCAGAGCTGAAAACACTACAATAGAATAAAGCTCACTTCGGTATAAAAAAGACTTACTTCTCTAGTTTCTGGCTTTAAGAAAGAGTAGCTCATGTCCACAAATATTTATTGAACTTTCCTAGACCTTGGAGACAACATATTGAAATTTAGGTGGTGCTTTCCTTTAATGTTGGTCATATCTTAAAGCCGTCAGTATAGGCAAATGTATCACAGTGTGCATCTTCAAAAGCGTCTTTTTTCCTTTCTTTTTTCCCCTTTTCTCTTAAATTAGCACTTTGTATTTTCTCTCTCTAACAGTGTTGTACACTTAATTCTGCTGGTTTCTTATGGTCCTCTACGTGTCATTCAAAAAGTGCTATATAAATAAAGTTTGCTTGCTTTACCTGCTTGCAACCCTACTTTTTCTATTATATTGTGTGTGCTTGAGGGTAGAATGTATATTGTGTGTGCCTGTGTCTTATGAGCAACACTCAACACCTGCTTACTCAGTATAAGTAAAACCTCCAGAAGCTATTTCCTCTGGTATGATGTGATACTGAATGTGTGGTATTACTGTCCCGGGGATAAGTTGAACAGGGGAGAGGGTGAACACACACACACACACACACACACACACACACACACACACTCCTATTATGTTTAGATAAGCTTGTGCAGCCAAAAGAAAAATGCAGATTTTCCAGCATCTCATTTCCTCCAGCTCCTGCAGAGAGGATGGTGTTGCCACACCCTTTCGAGTTGACAGCCGCCTATTTCTGTTTGTTCCACCCACCCGAAACTTGACACGGGCCGGCAGCACGGCCGAACGTGATTGGCTGTTCGGTTTCATTCGAGAGCGGAGTGAACCAATCAGAGTGCGTTGCGCTTATTCCATTCATTTCTACCCAATATAGAAACCACAGTGTGTCGTTATCACAGATAATATTTTGTTATACACGTCCTCGTTGTCGTTTTCACAGTTATTAAATTCACAGGAGAGTTTAAATGACACTCAGAATGAGCCAAATGTTTCTCAACACAAAGTAATTCCCCTCATCCACCAGTCACATTCACCACAGGAGCTCGAGGAAACATTTAGCCTACATTTGTGATATATGAACAACAAAAATGATGCGAAAGAATACTACAAGGCATAAATATTAAATAGTGGACTATGAACGATATTTCTATGTGTCGCCACAATCAGCCATACCAATGTCTACACGCCAGAGCATCCCTCTGTGTGGCATGAAAGGTACTTTCCAGGAAATCACATTTCTTACCTGCTTGGGGCAAAAAATGAATCAGCATCAGCAGACACCAACATGTTGACAGCCCGGTGAATCTCCTCCACATCCCAAACATGTCCTCTCCTCCTTACTTCTTCTTAGTTGACAGCAACGGAAGGGTCAGTCAGCTATGATGAGCGCAGGTTATGGAGGAGTGGTGGGTGAGTTCACAGCAAGACCCGTGCGTAAAAAGGCTCTGGATCACACAGAGAGTGCAGACAGCAGAGTCACGCCGCGGCTGTGCGTAAAAGACGAGTGCCAGCAAAATATTATGGGGTCCGAGTCACATCTGATGAGTTTCTATGAAGCCGACAGGAGGGCGGTGCTACAGCAGTGGTGTGATGTTTAAAAGTGGACGTGAGCATCGTCGGGGGGAGGAGCCACAATCTTGCTGTATCACTGTGTGTGTGTGTGTGTGTGTGTGTGTGTGTGTGTGTGTGTGTGTGTGTGTGTGTGCGCGCGCGCGTGTCGTCCTTCCATCACCCCTCCATCCATTACCCGGACCAGTGTTTCCTGTGTGTGCCAGTGTGTGTGTGCTTATGTGAAGGGAGAATGAATGACGGGAAGTGGAGCAACGAATTAACAATGACATTAACAATCACATCTTTCTGACAGCTCTCTATAAAAAGAAGCAACTTCTACATTGATGTCACTGCAGAAACAACAGTCACACCCTACAGGCACTGTAATGATTTCACATTGGAAAAGGGAGAAGAAAGAAACCACGTGTTTATATGAAACCACATGAGAGCATGTGCTCACACATGGGGAGCCCTACGTTGCAACAAGGGCTTGTGGGTAAACAAAAAGGGTGATGCATACTGTAGCTATGTGTCCCACAGAGATGAAGTGGAGACAAATCCCTCCCAGCAGCTACCAGACTCTCTCTCACACAGAAACTCTCTTTACAACATTTCCACAGAGTTTTATTCGTCCATATATGCACAGTGTGTAAAGTCTAAAAAGCTCGTTTTATTTTACGTTATTGCAGCTTGACGTCACTGGCAGCCCCCTCACAAGAGGATAACTTTATTTCAAGTACTATTCTCATTACTATTCATACTAAAAATATTTAAATAGTAGCAACTTAGGTATTTACACTCGAACACATCAATCCAGTCCAAGGAGTTAAAAACAATGCAAAATTACTCACTCGTAAATGAATAATGGATATACTATAAGAATATATCACCCCCCCAAATGGCCATTTGTATATCTAATCACACCGGGGTAGAACCATGTGCAGAAAACTTTCTCGCATGCCTTCATTGTGAACAAAGCATCCAAAAACTGAAAAAATTTTGGAGGAGGAGGAGGAAATTTTGGAGGAAGTGATACAGATACAAGTCATACAGAACCACGTTTATGCCTATGCTCTCTTCAAAAGACAAAGCTGTCGTTTTACCTTGCTGAACACAAGAGCTTTTGGTCTACTGCTGCCTCCATCAGTTCACCAAAGTCACACAATAACACAAACTTACTGATTGTGGCAGCAGTAGACCAGCTGCTCCTGTGTTCAGCAAGGTAAAACTATTGTTTTTGTCAATGGAGTCTGGCTCTGATGGGAGCATAGGTCAGTTTCACCTTTAGTTCAGTTTTAAATAGTTAGGTTTTTAATGCAAATTCATGTGTTGGAGAAGCACTCAGCATACAGCTGGATAAATGAGACTTGGATTATACTATGAGTTGTGTGGGAGTTTGTAAAGTGATGTTTTATGTAGTTTTGTTGTTTTAAAAAGTCGTTGCTGCAAATTTTCTGCGTTTAACGGATTTGTTCATTGTGGCGACATGCAAGGTTTCATCACAAATTCAACATAACACAGCATGAGTAACTGATAATTGATAAATGGTCATTTGAAGGGTGAAGTATTCCTTTAATAAATACCCCAAATCTTTTCATTTAATATCTTTATATTTTTTTGTAATTTGGGTTGCAGCCCCCTCTTCCTCTCTCTCTCTCTCATTAGTTTATGGAAAAGTTGCAATGAAGCCAGAAATGGTAATGCAATGCAGTTTTTGCTTCCTGTAATCTTTTCTCTTGTCCACACTTGTCATTAAGATAACCCACTCTTAATGTATTTTCAATGTAACTGACGGGGGACACAGTCCTCCTTTTGTGCAGAAATATATACCAAAGTTTATTAGAAGCTAAAATGAGGTTTCAACAGTTTGAGTTAGAGAAATCAAGTTGATATCTGAACTTCTGTCTTTTCAAAAAATAAAATAAAATAATCCCTCTTGGTGTTACTGCCCCTCCACTGCAGCTCACCAGGGAAACACTGTCAAGGGAAACAAAAAGAGAGTGACATTAAAAGATACTCATTTGCTTTGAATAACTTTGCCTAATCTGCACTCTGGAATGACGACTGTGGATTTTGCCCCACACCACTTACATTTAAAGTGTGTTAAGCAGGGATCTTTTATCAGCCAGTATGAACAGTGGAAGTGATTATGACAACCAAAAACTTTTAATGTACATATGTCAGAATTGTTTTCAGACAAACTTTAAAAAAATGAGACGCTACCTTTTAAAGGAAAAGCTAAATGCAGTAAACAAAGGATCACTCACTCCTAAATAAAACCAGTCAAAATGTCATAAGGCCTTTTCAGTAGATTGTGAGACAGTCGACTGATGCTGCATCTGAATTGCTTTTGAGAAGTTGGGATATTTAAAAGTCAGGCGTATGCTGCTGTAGCATCATACATCAGTATTTATTTAGACCTAAAGTATTCAAATGTAAAACATCAGATTGACATATGTCCAGAGCCACAGCATTGTGTTCCTTCTCAAAAGCAAACAGAGCATTTGCAAAACAAAGTATCACTATACCTAATGATGCAAAATATGTCATAGAAAGATGATAACCTGACCTGTGCATTTAGGGCCTCTGTCATATTTTCCAAGGAAGTGATATTCGCTGGGAGACAGTGCTCTGAAGATATACGCAGTTCCAAAGTGTCTTAAATCAGAAAAGTGATTCAGAGTATTCCTGATGTTCCCCCCTATATGTCGCTCATTATCATGGAAGCAATCCGGCTGAAAAATATTGGGGTGTTGTGACAAAGACTGAATTATCAGTGCAGCCTCAGTGGTGAATGGAGTGATTGTCCCACATCAGTTTGTGATCCTTGTCTGTGAAGTGGAGACAGTTTTGCTTTGAAAGACATGGCCGCGCGGTAATATTTAAGAGATTAATCAGACTGATAAGCTGTTTCCTGTGTGTGTGTGTGTGTGTGTGTGTGTGTGTGTGTGTGTGTGTGTGTGTAGAGGGGGGACAACCTCAGCCTAGGTCCTAGTTGGCTAAGAGCTGCTGGAGGTAACACTGGAATGTTGAAAAAGCTGCTGGATTACATATTCTGCTACACCCACCATCACCCCACACTGTTAACACACCCACAGACGGGCTGAATGTGCTATGTGTATGTGTATGTGTGAGCGTAACCACACCTGTCATCAGTACACGAGTTACTAAGACATCAACTTGAGAGTTCTGAAGAGCAGTAACAGTGAGTCACACTGAACGACTACATCAGTGTGGAAGAATCATTTCGATCTGAAACTCAGATGCAGAGATAGCAGGCTGTTTTCAGTGCAGACATTTTCATCTGTCACTGTGGTAAAGGCGCAGGTGTTACTAACTGAATTAATGATGGCTCTGTTCTATTCAAGTGTCCCAGTAAGTCGTGACAGTGCAACAGTGAGTCAGGATGCACAATACCAGGACCCTGAAACTGAAGCAGCTAAATGGAATCCAGCCATCATTAATTTTATCATTAACACCTGTGCTTTACTGTGACATGTCATGTTTAAAACGAGGATTTTTTTTCCCCGCAGAATAACTGACATTTTGATGATTTCATCTGACAACACTAATAGCCTATTTTTTTTTTTCTGATATTGACTATGAATACTATCCTTTGGAAGTTACTTGGAAAATATTGCATAAATTCTAATTTTACATGGATGCAAATACAAATAAATTTGTTTTGCATAGGTAACAAAAATCTTCTTCTTCTTCTTCTTTTGCTCCGGGATGTGGGAACAAATATACTTACCCAACATTATTTTTGTCCATCTAAACTATTAGCTCAGTGTGTCTGCTGCATTCGGCCTGTACTAGCACAAGTAGCCTGCTAATCACACTGAATTTAATTTATTTCAAAAAAGAAGAGAGGCTTTAGACTTTTGCTTTGCTTTCTGATGAATAAGTCATAACCAAATAATTATAAAGCCCTCAATAAATGGGCCCACTTAAATTTGCTATCTAGTTTCACTTCAGGCTTATTCACTGTTGCACTTTCTGTTGCTGTAAAAAAAAAAAAAAAAAAAAAAAAAAAAAAAAAAAAAGGGAATGTGAAAACATGAAACAGAGTTATATGAGGACTACAAATATAAATCCATGTCGGCCTCCACAAATTCATCCAGACAGGCCCTCATAGAGACCTCTTATCAAGCACCAGATATCTACACTTGTCTCTTTGACAAACAGCGACGGGACTATCAGACAGACAAAGAGTACATACTGTTCATTACTTCATATGATACTGACGGTGTGTGCACAGTATGTGTATGGTGTCTACCCTACACATGAAAGTCATGTCTGGTGTCTCAGGTCCTATAGATTTTGTAAGTTCACACACACACACACACACACACACACACACAACATATGAGAGCACAAGTGTGTCTTTATGTCTGAGCTTTGTGTCAATTTCACAACATCAGGAGATAATAAAGCTTTATTCAAATAGCATACAAACTCGTCAGCTTAAAAAGGTTTTAGGAAAGTTTCTCTGCTGCCTACAAATACAACAGATGAATAACTTCGTTCTTTTATTTAATCTATAAACTGAAGTTTGTTAGTTTATTGCTGAAACACAGAAGTAAAGTTTAGTATGAAGCTAGAAAGGGGAACTGTGTTCATGGACTTGTTTGAACAACAGGGTTTTGAACATGACAGGACTTTGAAAGAAGATCAAGATTTAATAGGGCAGAGCAATGCGTTTCGCTTACAGGGGAAGCAGCGCCTGAAGTCCCTAAAACAGCACACAAACACACAGAGGCAGCAAGGTGCTGGTACTGTGGCAAAAGTGCAACTATGTAAAGAAAAAAAAACACATATATTGTGGCTACATACCGCACACAAGACAGGACTTTGAAAGAGGATCAAGATTTAATAGAGCAGAGCAATGCGTTTCGCTGACAGCTTCATCAGGCTCTGAGCCTGGACATATTTGAACAACATGAATGGCACTCCTTTACATTTGGTTTGGGTCATTGGAGAGGAGCTTTTAGACTGTTATCCAACTTATTATTAAAGGACAGTTCACCCAAAAATCAAAATTACATATTTTTCCTCTTACCTGTGGTGCTATTTATCAGTCTAAATTGTTTTGGTGTGAGTGTCAGAGTGATGTCTCTTTCCAAAAATTGTGACCCGGTTACTCAAGATAATCCACAGACCTTGTTGTGAGCAGTTTTACATAAAAACTATTATTTATTATCTGAACTACACCTGAAAACCCTATCACTGCACAAACGGAAGCGTGCATCTACTGCTAGCTCACCTAGCTAACTGAGCCAGCTAACTTTACAGCTCAGCCGAGGAGGATGTCACTAATGTTTACATCTCATGCTGTCCCCACCACAGGCCCCTCGTACATGAGTAGATGTACGCTTCATTCTCACGGTGATACGGTTGGCGGGTAATTCCTACATGAAACTGCTCACAACAAAGTCTGTGGATTGTAAACGGGTCATGATTTCTGCAAAAAGAGACATTTCTGTTGAGTTTTCAAGTGTATTTTTTGCACTTTGCGCACCACAAGCTGAGTGCCTTCTACTTCCATTATATTGAAGAGAGGGCAGACATCTCTATGGCTGGTATCTCAAACACTTGGTAACTCACACCAAAATAACAATCTAGACTGATAATCAGCACTGTGGTTAAGAGGTAAAAATATGTATTTTGATATTTGCGTGAACTGTCCCTTTAAAGCACAGGACGTTATGTGTAAACTGTATATACTCCTGAGTAGTTTCAGTCAAAGTCTGCTGCCTCTGTGTGTTTGTGTGCTGTTTTAGGGACTTCAGGAGCTGCTCCCCCCTTCCCCTTACAGATGTTAACTGCTGGTTGTAAGTTGCTGAAGGGATCCAGGAGTTCCTAGAAATCAGGAAACCAAACCAAGTCTGCCACCCTTCCCCCTCTTCTCATGAGCAAATACTGTGACCCCCAACACAGACCTCACTGTCGAGGTTCTGTGTAAAACCACATGTATCCCCACATCCATAGATGTGCCAAGTTCCCTCCTCCAAACAGACACTGTACATTCACCATATTTCTCCCGGTGCCAGCCAACCCGCTTACAAAATAAACATAAATATGAGGGGTATAGCAAGGTTGTTTACATCATCTGGATAAAGAGCTTCTGTATTCATTTATTTGCATGACCTTACTGAGAGAGGAGTCGAGGTTTTCTGTTGGTGTTATTTATTTTATTTTTTTTAATTTCACGTTATGCTGGAGGCTTTGGCCATGTTGGGAGTAGGGTCAAGTTGGGCAAAAGCAGCATCTAAATACTAAGGAAGTGTTTCTACATTGTTGTGTTCTAACTTTCCCTTTGTGTAAAGATTTAAATTAAGGGATAGTTTTGAGGAAGGTTTCAGCAACAAATGTATGAATTAAAAAGGCTGTCCTGCTACAGGATGCAGCAGTGTGATGACAAATTGACCTGTGTTTGTATGAGACCTCCTAGTGGTCAAACAGAGACATTACATCTGACAGATTGTAACAGAAGTTTAACTTTCTTTGTGCTTCAATTGTGAAGTCCACTCCCCTGCAAGGCTTTTTTGCGCCCAGAAGATAAAGAAGCAGATCTGATGAGAGTAAAGCAAATGACACTGTTGTGGTGCTTTTAGTAGACAGAAGATTTAGATGAAGTTTCTCATCAATAGGGCTGGGTACATTTAAAAAATAATGATACCAGCACCAATACCAGTACCCTTTAAGTAATACTGCTACCAGTAGAGTACTTCATTTGATACCCATCATGTGAATGAAAGCCTTCAGTTGTGTAAAATACCACTGGACACCACAGGCAAGCTGTAAAGCCATACTTTCAAATGATTCAGTGGCATTTAACACACTGAACTCTGAACTGTGTCAAAACATAGCATTCTTGACTTCACCACTGACTATATGGGTTGTAGCTGCTGTGGCAGTGGGCCAATCACATGCTTACAACACTTCCTGTGACTGGCTGCAAGCCAAACCATACAAATAGTTACTTTTTCTAGATGTGGGTACAAAAAGGATCACATGCAGGTATTGCTTGACTTTAAATTTTGCCATCATGCCACTTGGTACTGGGTTATTTCGGTCGATACCATGATGTTATTAGTACTGACACTGAGCTCCACTCACCACTGATGACTACAGCCTCTAAAAATATCTAAATAATTTGATCCAAACAACTGGGTTAGGTTCTTCTTCATTTACCTCCATTTATTACAAATAAAACAAATATATCAAAATTCATCTGAAGCAGTGAAATAACTCATGAGGGCTGTAACCATAGACTGTAAAAACAATGATAATAGCTACCGTGATGTCACCCATTGGTTTGTGAACGCCTGTTTAGAAGAGTCAAGTTTGGCATTTTTGGCTGTCGCCATCTTGGCTTTTTGGAGCCAGAAGCGACCGTATTTGGGCGAAAGCCTGGTGCTGTGGAAGAGTGAGGGGTGGATCTGACTGAGAGGGCGAGGACACTATTGGCAGACAGCCTGTCACTCAAATTGTTCCCAGCCTTAATTAATGCACAACTTTAAGCCTTAATAAAATGCAAATGGGAGTTATAAAAAAATTCAGCCACATTCAGTTGTCATAAGTGTTGAAATTAGATTAAATTATTAACTGTACCAGACTGTAAACATGTTTATCTCTGCTGTAAAGCTGGGCATTTTAACATGGGGGTCTATGGGGACTGACTTGACTGGCCTCTGGAGACAGCCTCAAGTGGACATTCAAGGAACAGCAGTTTCTGACACTTTAGTTTTTCAGTACTGATTCATCTGTTGATTATTTGATCATGTGGAGGGTAGCGAAAAATGCTGATCACAGTTTCCCAGAGCCCACGGAGACGTCTTCAAATGCCTTGTTTTGTTCAACTAACAGTCTACAACTCAGTTATAAGACAAAGAAAACATAAACTATGCGTATTTTGGAAGCTGGAGCCAACAAATGTTTGGCAGTTTTGCTAAAAAATAGAATTAAAAAAAAAAAATCAAACCTTTAATCGGTCATTTAAATAGTTGACGCCTGGCAACTGGCTAATAGGGTTAATATTCCAGCACTACATCACACAAACAACAACACTCACTTTTACTGTGGTTTATTGTTACGTTTTGAGTTCCAGCGACGATGACCACAACACAACACAGACAGATCCCAATAATTTAGTGGAGAAACTATGCTTTGGTTGTATGTTGTTCACTCTACCATGATGAAAAAAAAAAGTGCAGTACTGAACTTGCGAGCTGTACACACGTGCATTGACATGATACTCTACAAAATACTCTATACAGTATATCCAACACCATACAGCCAGGAGGCATTCACAAGCAGAGAGGAGCCACTGTCCCTCTGGTCCTTTGTCTTGAAATCAAAAAACATAAAAAGTGCCAAAGTACATCAAACAGTTCTGAAATCCTAAAATCACCACACAACAACTGAAGGAGAAGCAGTTAAAGTTACAGTACTCATTGATGAATGATGATTTTTTTTTAGTCTACAATCAACAGTTATAGTAAGTGCTTATATTGGAAGTGTAACAGGTACGCAGCAGCAGCAAGGTTGTTTTTATATTGTACTTTATATACAGTGACCTGGACCCAACGCCATTAAACCTCAGTCACATAACTGTGGTGAGTTGCTAAAGAGCTTCTGAGAAGTCTGGAAACACCCTGCCTGCGCCCACAGGAGGCTGGATATCCAACTCAAACAGTGAGCCCCGGTCACAAATATGTGATGTGCACACACCTCAGTAATCACAGTGGCTCCGAAGTGGCTGACTGTTGTTACAACACATGGCCACAGCGAAGCAGAGGTGAAACATCAAGTTTGTATGTCCAGAAGCAAAGCAAGGTAAGGTAAGGTAGCAGCTGGATGAAAACACAGCTCTTTCTGAAAACATTTTCTGTTTACATTCAATTTTGTTTACTTCACTTTACTGGTTCCCACCAGTTCTAACTCCTCCGGTTAGCTGAGGACTCATTTTTGATCACAAAATGAGAAGATCTGTATAAATACAGGCTTCACAGGAAATGAAATGTCTCAACTAACTGAACTGTTATTCCTCTTAAACACCATTTGGGTTAGTTGTAATGGCAACACTTTCTAGGAGCTGTATACGACATTCAGAGCATTAATACAGCAGCAAACCACTATTTGGTACATAAAGATACAGTGGATTAATGGCGTCCTGAGCAGAGAAAAGTCACGCTCCCTCTGTGTGCAATGTAATCTGAGCTTCTCTGTTCCTTGTTGTGGTAGATGGTCTGGCCTCGCGTGCATTTGAGTGTACCCCACTGGCTAGCTAATCACCACCACTCTGCACTGTGCTAATATGGCAGCTATTGCTGAAAATGCCATCCTGACCCCTAGTGGTGGAACAATGTCAACGTAGACTCCCAACGCCCCCCACTTTAACACTGTAAGCTCTATCAGCACTGTTAGTCCTGTTAACACTGCAAGCTGCTATCAGCTCAGCCATCGTCATTGTTAGCACACACCAGCTGTGTAGACTCTAAATAATAAATATGCCTTTAATGTCGCATACAGCTCCTTTAAGTCCCCTAATGAGCATTTATAAGCAGTAAACATTTAGTAAATGGTTCATAACACACTATAACATACTTGTCAGCAGATACAAGCATTTATTAATGTATTTGTCAGCAGCTGTAACTCCTCCTGTGGTCAGTCATCAGTGGAGGCTGGTTTATAAACAGATAAGAAATGACAATATAGTAAAACATAGTAATAATACAAAATATGGTTTATAAGAGAATCACAATTACTATACATTAATAAGCACTTAAATGTCCTCAGAGCTGCACATGTGTACATTATTGTATTCAACTGTTTATTAAATGTTTACATACTGCTTATAAATTGTAAGTATAGGGACTTAAAGCAAAGTGTTACTGCTGTAATTGTTACAAGTCAGAAACGTGACATTACAAATGGCTTTAGTGCATTTGTAGTGTATATTTTTCTGACTCCCAGTAGTGTTTTAACACCTGCACACTGACAACAATTTCATTTCATCAGATTGAAAACCTTCCTGAAATTACACACAAAGACAAAAAGCTCATTCGATCCCTCTGTAATAAAACTTCTTCACACAATAAGGGTTAATGCTGCACAGTCAAATTAATTTGTGTATCTTATGATATTGCAGTGTGTACTTTTTCCATGTGATGTCAATATGACTAATCAAATAATAATATGTATCTGTTTCTGTACTGCAAACCTCCCTTCTCTTTGAGTCCTATGACATTTGATGGAGGGTGGATGGAGTTGACAGAGGCATGTTTAATTTACTGTGAATGTAGTGCTTGAGTTGATGGCATATCCTGTTATGGCCCCTTCTCTCCTCAGTTCAGCACAGTTCAGGACTCCTCGTCAGTGGCACTGGGGGAACGCTCCTGGAGGAGAGAGAAAAGAGAAAACTAGAGAACGTCTAGAATATCTTATGATCTGCAGCCCCACATGGATCTGAAAGAAAAATACACCTGAATAGACTTAGATAAACTGATGACAATCACAGGATATGTGTCATGCCTTTTAAAAAACAATTTCAAGCTAGTGTTGCAAGAGTTCATGATGACATTGCAAAAAAGTTCAAAATAACATCTCCGTTAGTGTGAAGAAACTGCTCTAAAATCCTCAGTACACACCAAAAACTAAGGTATTATATAGTAATTTCTGCTAACCAAAACACAACCTCCTTGGCAGATATAACAAAGGACAATGAGAAAATGTAGCCTGCAATATTAATATATTCTGCAGGTTTGAGCCTCTGCAGGGCTGCTGCTGCATGATATATGATCATATGATATGACACAACACGACATGACACGATATAATATGATATACTGTCACTCTACTCTGATATACTTTTACTTACTGTTTTCTGTTTACATCTCTGCATATATATATTATCTCTTCTCATCATGCATATACATCTACTACATCTCTGTTTATGTTTGTTTATTTATTTGCAATTACTGTACACCTGTCTACCACAAATTTAATTTATTATCTAATTTATATTTTATTATGTCAGGTTTTTTTCCCTATATTGTAATTTGAATTTGCACAGTTAATTTATCTATTTATTTTTTGCGTGTTTTTGTTTTATACAAATTTAATTAGCATTGTTGATCTTTCTGCTAAGATGAAGTGGGTGGAAACATACGACTGAGCCAAGAATAGAAAAGAAGCGTGTCTTTGCCTGAGCACATCCATCATTCATTCCCTACTCATTGTTTTAAAAAGTTTGAAAAATATTCTTACTCTCTGAAGGAATATAATATTTTTTAACCTGGCCTTAAAATTGATCTTTCAATAAAACAACATCCCATGTGTCACTGTAAACAAACCAGCAGTCCACATGAATACGTAGGCTGGTCATCTGGGTGTTGACCTTTGTTTACACTGTGTTAGGGTTTGAATGTTATGCTCTTTTACCTTCTAAACTCAGTTGTTTATCTGTTTCATGCAATGTCAGAAGTAAGTGCAGCGTTATCAGGGTTCCCATACCTTCTTAAACATCAAATTCATGGACTTTTCAAGGACCTTCCAGGCCCAAATCCCTCGAACTCAACAACCCAACAAACTTAATTACTGTTACAAGAATGAGATTTTTTTTTATCAGAACTAGCAGGCTTACAAAAAAGGGAGAGAAGGTTGAATGTGTTTCTCAGTTGGGCTGTGAAGGGTGGCACAAGAGACAGTAACAGGGGAGACTGTGGGAGACACACATGCAGACAGTGGAACATGGCCTATTTACTGGCATTAAATTTAACAGAATATATCAAAAGAACTTAATTTTCTATTCTTGTACAAAATGTATAAATCTAAGCACTTTCAATGATCCATGTCTATTTATGTCTACTTTTAAACACTTTTAAGGAGTTGATTTTTTTTCACCTCAAATTCACAAACTTTCAAGGATTTCAAGGGCCTGTGGGAACCCTGTTTTATTCCAACTCAGACATACACTTGACAAAACTAAGACAGCAGAGCCAAGTTTGTAAAAAAAGGAAGTTTCCTTTAAAACTGATTCTTATACAGACAGACAGACACACACACACACACACACACACACACACACACACACACACACACACACAGTTACCTCTTCCTGCTCATCCTCAGAGTCGTCGTCACTAACAACAGGTTTGGCTCTGGTGCGTCCTGTTCGTCTGCTGCGTCCCTTTCCTCGATCTCCACCTTTATCCTTCCTTCCCAGACGAATCTTCACTTTCACTGAGCGAGCTGAAAACACACACACACACACACAGAACGTGTTTATGGTATCAATAAAACTCAGACTAATCTAAAGCATGAAAAAGTATCTCAGTGTTATCAAATCAATGTAACTGAAGTGAAACTTAAGAGTCTGTCTCAGGTGAAAAATGGTCCGTGAACAAAAGGACATCACAACACAAACATCTGCTGCTGTCTTCACACGGACGCTTACATTCGGACTCGGATCCTTCCTCCAGCTCCTCTTCCTCTTCCTCACTCTCCTCTCCCTCACTTTCCTCCTCCTTCTCAATCTTTTGCCTCAAACTGGTGAACACGGACTGGAGGACGATGGAGTCTTCATATATCTGCTCATGTGAGAAAAACATGGTAGAAAAATACTGTCTATTACCAACATACATAACACATACATAACACAAAGCTCTCAGTAACCACAATTCCTGCACGATTACTAACAGCATAATGATATGTATCCTTAAAAACTGACACAAATCGTCTGCTAAACATGATATAGGAGACTGCTCAGCCATTAGCAAAAAAATATATAATTTCTCCAGTGACATGGCAGTTACAGCTTTAATATTGACCTTTTTTTTAAAGCTCTCTGATCAAGGCAATCACAGTATATATTACAGAGCAATACAGTCAAACATGTATAATGCCCTCCATGTTTCACCAATCAGACTTTTGACATCTAATTATGGCACACTAACCCTCTACATTTCCTAAATATAGGACAGGAATACTCTATTTCCATAACCACCTTTGGCCACGCCAAGTCAAACTATGCCGCACCGATTTGCGCTTCTTTTGTCAGTTTTAACGTGGTGAACTGTGCCGGGGATGGACCCTCCGTGGAGCAGGGCCAAAAGTGTGCCTGACCTCCTCCAATCAGGTGGCGGTGACGTTTCACAGTCCGCAGCCAAACCCAGATTACCCCCTTTTCCCCCTGAAACATGCATGTGTGTTGTGAGACTCTGACATCTGTCTGTGCAGGAGACCAAAGAGAAAGAGGTCTATTAAAGTCTCTATGTGTTCAGCTCTCAGTGCTTTTGCAGCTTCTAAGTGAACCTCTGGGGTTTGGACTTTAGTTTCTCTCCTGCGTCCTGTTTTTACTTTAGATATCGGCTTTATTTTATCATTTCATGTTCGCTTTCAGCCATACAGGAGTCTTGTTCAGTTAAAAATCAACATTTCCTTATTTTTCTGTTTCACAATAAAAGTTTTTTCCACAAGAAAATAACAAGGGACTTCTGTTTATCACTGAATTACCGGTTAGTGGCTTTTCTTTAATAAAAACAAGTCTCCTAACACCACAGGGAGGAAGAGTAAAAACAAAAACGGCCACAGTAAACAGCTCACCACCAACAGGTAACCTTTTTTCTGCCATGCTATATGATGCAAAAACACTCGCTGCAAAATAGCGAGGGACTTAAGCCATGGGTCTGCCTGCTGCTTTTAATGGTCATCACTCAAGTCAAGCTGTCATTATTTAAAGACACATTTTCAAGCAGGTAGCCCTGTTGTAATGGAGACACAAATCCCTGCCGCGCTGGGCTGATGTGCTGAGTCAAACCAAACCAAACCAAGCCAGCACATGAGTGTGGAAAAGGGGTAGTAGTAGCTGAGATATGACAGTAAGACTAAAAGTAATTTCTGTAATGGGTAAAAATCCGGCATACACCAGGTGAGAGGCATACACACCACTCTAACTGAGCAGCTCACAGTAGAGATGAGGACATGAGTGAATGCTGTAAACAGTCAGTCTCACCAGTGATCCCTCCAGGTTGAAGGTCTGAGCGTTTTGGAAGAGCAGCATGACGTCTCTCTCCAGGTCGCCCAGACTGCGGTAGCGATGCCCTCGAATCCTCTCCTACAGTGAAGATACAGTACACATACCACTCAGTATATATGAGAGAAAGTAACATATAATGTGTACCTGTTATCTATATGTTTTCTTGCTGTGTTTGTTTGTTGTTTGGGCTTTCCTATTACTAACCTTGATCTTCCTGAAGTCCACAGGCTTGCGAATCAGTTCGTAGTACTCTGGCAGCTCTTTCCGAGATGGCAGCTGGATGAACACCTCGCTCAGCTGACGCCCACTGGTGCTGCAGGAAATGACATCATCAGGATGAGACTAAACACTTGAAAAACATCAGAGGGAAGTATGGGAAAACTGTGGGATCCTGACACTCACAACTAAATTACAGTTGCTAATAAAGTTGAAGCTAACTGGTTTTCATCTTTGTTAGCTTAAGTGATGATCCTACTGTGTGATTCAGTTTAATAGTTTAAAATATCAAAGCATTTCACTTCTGGCCATTTAGTGGGATCATTTCTCCATGATAAGCGAATTTAGTGGCATCGAACGATGTGGCTGTAGATTGCAACCTACTTAAATTTCCCGTGTGCCAAGTGTGTAGGAAAAATACGGTGGCCGACACAACAGGAAAACACAAACGGCCCTATCTAGAGTCAGTGTTTAGCTTGTACATTCTGGTCTGGTTTTGTTTTTTGGAAAATATGCATTATTTCAGGAATTGTGTATATGCAGTTGTGAAAACTGTACAGTGATTTTCCCAGTTCCTATAAATGTTAAGGCCGTGCAACATCACTTCTTGTTTGACTTAAGTTAGCCTGAAACTAAATAATGTGTCAAACATTTGCAGATTTTTTGTTCTGAAACAGTAAGAAGACTTGTTGAATCTCCTCACACTCCTCTTATTACACTCATTCTAAAACTACACTTTTAAAGTCAGTTAATAAGCACCAGACAACATGTGAAGTGTGTGTCATGTGTGTCACAGACTACAGCCAAATCTCAGTTCCGTTACCTGTCTTTATACTTGATGACAGCGTCCACGATCTTCTTCATCTTTTTTGTGAGAGCGGGGGGGTTGGGGGAGAGTTTCTCAGCAGGCGGTCGTCCCCTCTTCCTCTGCCTCTTCCCATCTTCATCTTTGTCCCCTCGTCCTCTTCCCCCTGAAGATGAGGAGGGACCAGGCAGGTCCAGGTCGCGGTCCCGTTTCCTCTTGCGGGTTGTCTTTTTGTGACGCACCTCCTCCTCCATCTCCTCCAGGGTGCCCTCCTCTATTGCCTGTATGGGAAACACAGACTGAGATTAAAATTAAAGCATTGAAATCACAAGAGAAGGATCAACCCTTTACTTTGAAGCAAAGGGGATTTATTTTGTATATGAATTTTTGTATTCAGAAATGTGTTTCCCAGTTTCCCCATGAGGCTACCTTGAGCCACTGCTTCTCCGTCAGTGAATCGCTGTAGTCCACCTCCTTCCGCTGCCGCGAACCTCGTCCAAACATTTTCTCCTCCTCTTCCTCACAGGTTAGGCGTTCGACCTCAGCGTCGTCTTTCATGATCCAAGTGGGCAGCTCGTCCTCCTCCATCAGACGAGGTTTTCGTCGTGGATTACGGGCCTCCTCGCGACGTCGGTCCAGGTCCATACGCTGAGGAAGGGGGAAGAAAGAAAAAAGGGCAACAAAACAAATATGTAGATGGAGGGTTTTTAAGGACTGTAAGTGAGGACTTAAAGTGTATCTTCCAAACATAACACTGACCATAAACTGGTCAAACTCCTCCTCACTCCTGGCAATCATCTGGTTGACCGTCTCATCATCCGGCACCTCATCCTCCTCCTGAATACAACAGACACACATTGGCAAGCATAGCATAAGCAAGCTCACTCTTTGAATATTGTGTGTTTCTGGTGCTTGCACACACATTCATGCGTAGACACACTTCCTGACCCCAGACCTCGTCTTGCTCCTCGTGTTCCAGGATGGCCTGCAGGAAGGCCCTGCGCTCGTGGCTAGAAGACTTCTGGTCAAACATGCCTGCTTGAATGACCTTTTGGTCCACATTTAGTTTGTACTTGGCAGCGGCCAAAATTTTCTCCTCTACACTGTTGACCGTGCAGAGTCGTAACACACGGACCTCGTTCTGTTGACCAATACGGTGGGCTCTGTCCTGAGCCTGCAGGTCCTGGAGAGGAGAATTAGCACAAGTTCAAATGTTGCTCTGAGAAATTTGTGGCAGGAGAACAAGAGCTGGTTTCCCATTGTTTATAGAGGAGTAGGCAGTAGTAAACAAGCCAACATTACTGAGGTGACACCTCACTTGTAAACCCACATATAACTCTGAGGACTTTCACTTCCTAAAGGTTATTTTTCCTCTTACCTGTAGTGCTATTTATCAATCTGGGCTTTTTGTTTTGGTGTGAATTGCAGAGTGCAGGAGATAGCGGCTGTAGAGATGTCTCCATTCTCTCCAACATAATGGAACTAGATGGCATGTGGCCTGAGCCGCTTAAAATGCCAAAAAAACCCAAAAACTTTTGAAAAACTCAACAGCAATGTCTCCTTCCAGAAATCATGACCCGGTTACTCAAGATAATCCACAGACCTTGTTGTGAGCAGTTTCATGTAGGAACTATTTTCTTTCTGCTGAGCTACACCCATCAACCATTTTACTGTGCAGAAGGATGGGTGCATCTACTCATAGACGAGAGATTCGTGCTTGTGACAGAGCAAGATGTAAACATTAATGGTGTACTCCACGGCTATGCTTTAGTGTTAGCTAGCTCAGTGGTGCTATGTGAGCTGGCAGTAGATGCATGCAGATATCTCCAACACTCAGCAATTCACACCAAAGCAATCGAGACTGATAAACAGCACTACAGGCAGGAGGAACAATATGTATTTTGGATTTTTTGTCCTTTTGAGCACTTTTGACAAGAATTATGTCCGACATGTTGAAAACATCATCATCAAATGCCATTAAAATAAAGTATATATTCTAGAAAACTTAAATTGTTACAAAATTTTTCACAGTTTCGACAGACAGACAGACAGACTCTTTTCGGGGCTGTGCTGTTGTCAGCTGCTCCAACAAAACCAAAACAGAAAGTAAAAGTCACAGGCCTTTGAGTGCCATGGTGACAAAGGATCGACCAGGGCCGTTAAAGACTGAGCAACCTGCCTTCACAGGGCCGATGGTGAACTACCATCTGGTGTGTGTCTTATAGCTGCTAAGCTTCCTACATTTTTTTAAAAAAATGATTAAAATTATGCGTTTCTTGTAAATACAATACATGGAATTATGGAGTTTGGTGATTTGAATTATAAGCAAGCACAAGTTTAATTAGCTCTCCCCACAGCATTGTCACATCTGCACTGTGGAGGTCAGACAGAGGCGGTATATTGATATCTTGTTTTCCAAACAGCTGTGACATAATTAATTTCAGACTACTGATTTGAGACATCTTTTCTTCCCACTGTTCTCTAGTTGAAATCAAACAACTGACAACTCGTAATCATTTATTGCCTGATCCAAAACTCTGGATTCTGAATCTGAGATATCTGTGTTGCTGTGTCCATGTCTATTTTTATGTGTATGTTAATACTAGATAGTAGCCTCTTACTGCTACATTCTAAAGAAACTCTAAGATTACATCCACACTAATACAGTTTCATTTTAAAACTGTATTTTAAATGAAAATTATTTCCATACACTTGTGCGTTTTAGAACCGTTTCAGAAAAACAGAAATAATCTCCGTCCATTCTAACACATACACACACATCACATGATCATCGATGTACACTGGGCATACGCATGCCTGTATAAACAGATAGACAATTGTCTACTCTGTGGCTATGCTTAGTTAGAGAAAATACGATAAGATAAGGAAAAAAGGAAGACCAGAGATTTCTCTGCTTGGACCGATGAAGAGGTGGAACTATTACTGAAATTAACACACGAGTATAAGGCGGTCAAGACATCGGAAATAAATTGTGAGTCACTGCAAAGCAAATATGGTGACATATTAGACCTGTACCTGAAGCATTGTCAATCCCCGGAGGTAGCCATAGCAATGGAAAAGGAGCACCCACACAAGAAGGATAAAATCACAAAGGGTATATAGACCTAGCTTTTATGTTTTGGCTTATTGGATAAGAACCAATTGGGAAGAAAAGATGGGTTTCTGCGTCATCTTTTTAAAAAGTCTCCGTTTCCATCCGCCCATCCAGACTTAAATGCAACCTCTGACTTTTCAAACTAAAATGGGGTCAGCTGCGTTTTCAAAATCTCTGTTTGTAGGGTTCCAAAACACCCAAGTAAGGTGAGTGTTGGGTGTAAATGCAGCAACCGTTACGCACTTTAAAAAGGTATTACGGTGGATGTAGCCCAAGTTCATATCAACTTGATTTTTTATCAAATGGTGCCTTTTGTAGATTAAAATAAACATGCATCACACCTGATGTGGGTTCCAGTCAGAGTCAAAAATAACCACGGTGTCTGCAGACTGCAAGTTGAGGCCGAGGCCTCCAGCTCTTGTGCTCAGGAGGAAGATAAAGTACTCTGACCCTGGGTCATTGAATGTCTTCAGTAACATTCCTCTATCCTCGGCCTTTGTAGTGCCTGAGATGTAAGGGAGGTGGGAAAAGATTAGAAAAGCATGTGAAGGAACAAAGGGAAAAAAATAATTCAAGCAAGACAGAAGATTTAGCATCAAAGTGTCATGAAAAACAGTGAGAATAAAGGACATATTTGCAAAGACTGGTTCAAGTAAACTGTCTCACCATCTAGACGTAGATACTTGAAGCTGCGATATGCGAAGTAGTCCTCCATGATGGTCATGAGTGAGGTCATCTGACAGAAGAGCAGCACTTTGTGGCTTGTAGCTCTCAGCTTTGGCAGGATTCGATCCAACACCTCAAACTTTCCTGATGCCCGATATAAGTCAGGACTAAAGGCACAGGTAGATGGATGGGTTACAAGAGTTACGGTGTGTTTGGTCTTGATCTGAAGGTGAATTAGTACTTACCCCTGGACTATCCCACCAGAGAATCCTAAATGTTCAGAAAAAGATTCCTGCAAAAGCAATCAAAAATGTATTCTATCATCGTGTCTTTATTTTGAAGCTCATATTGACAAGTTTCCTATTGCTCCTTCTATCCTGATAGATGTTACATTTTAAATACAATCAAAGACACTGCTATCTTCAGTTAAGACAAAATGTTTTTGCATCATCCTCCTTAGTAGTACCTCTATTTGCTGGAACATGTAAGGGTGGTTACAGATCTTCCTCAGCTGCATGATGGTGTTCATCAGCGTCTTTGTGCCGCCTTTACCCTGGGAAATACAACCAGACAAAATGTACAGCTTGCAGTCACAGTTTAATATTTTCATTCAACAGTTATTAACAAAGACTCGTCCAAGGGCAGTCATTAATTCTCTCTCTGAGCTTCAATTAATGCATTAAGTATCTAAATGTGAGAGCCAAGGACCAAACCGTAAAAAACGAACAAATAGATCACATTTTTCCTACGCTCAACTTATCCTAAAAGTGATTCATGAATGTCAAATAAGCAATGCAAGTCTCAAAGCCAAACTTCCACTCTTGTACATATTGCAGTATACTGTAATTCTATCATATACAGTATCTAGTGCCACATCTTATCTGGGCCTATTATTTAAAATAAACTATCATGTTGCAGAACTCTCATTTCCATGATCAAATTATTTCTGATTCTGGAATGAAAAGAGACAGAAATTAACACGTCATATATTTTGTAAAACATAAAACCAACATAAAGTAGAAACAATTGTATTTTGGTGTTGTTTAGTTTTAATGATGCACGAGCCAAATACCCACAGTGGTAAAAGGGTTTCTGTCTTTACCTTCTTGTCCTTCTCTGATCCATCAGTGAGCAGGACCCCCTTGGCCTGCATGTGCCTGTACAGCACCCTCTGAAGAGACGACATGTCACACTTGATCACATATTCCACCTGACGGAGAGGAGAGACAGGTGGAATTAATGAGTGACGTGGACAGAAAGAAAAGTATATGCATAATTACTTTTACCAGCATTGCAAATACTATTAAAAATACTGGAGAACACTCAGGGATTGTTTCCTATCCATTAAAATTTTAAAAACATGCCTTCTCTGGAAGCTGTGCCTCCACTTCCTTCTTCAATCTGCGTAACAGGAAGGGACGGAGCACTTTGTGGAGACGACGGATAATCAAGATGGTCTCCTCTTCATTAAGGTCCACCTAGAGAGTAAAAGAAAGAGATTTTACAAGAAAGATACTGTGCATCCTGCGTGTTGTCATCTCTCAAACACATTAAAAAAAAAGGAATGTGATGTGGCAGCTGAGAACTTCCCCCCACCTTCTCTCCAGTCATGGCGAAAGGGGCGTTGAACCACTGCTCAAAGGTGCTGCAGCTCTTAAAGATGGTGGGCAGGAGGAAGTTTAGCAACGCCCAGAGCTCAGGTAGTTTGTTCTGCAATGGCGTTCCTGTCAGCAGGACTCGCCGTGGGGCCAGGTAGTGGGTGTTCAGGACCTGGGTCAGCTTACAGTGGTGGTTCTTCATACGGTGTCCTTCATCCACGATCATGTACTTCCAACGAATCTGGTGGGGTTGAAGTAAAAGAGAGGGGAGAGAAGAACATTAGATTTAAGCTGTTACTACTTAATGTCTCACAAACCATGTTGGCTCACTCCCAAGCCAAAGCCTTGAGCCACCACAAGGGGAAATTCTTGTCTGAACTACAGCACATGGGTGTAGGAAGGTGGGTGCTGTACCATCCCGTTGACACGGGCTGAACAACCCAGTCACTGACACGATCCCAGGCTTTGCTCATAGTTTCCTGTTTTATTCTGAAGGTCACCCTCCTCGTGTGTCATGCCTTGTCTTACTTCCTGCCTTTGTCTGTTTCACACCTGTTTTTATACACTCCTGCTTTGTATCAGTCTCGTTAGTCCCTCCCTGTTCCACTGTTCTCTGCACACCTGTCGACTGTTAACTGAATCCAAATGTCCACTCTCTGAACTTGCAGACTGATCCCTTGTGGACTTCAGTCATACATACTGTGACGAATTCTCTTTCATCACGGAAAGTCTGCAAACGCAGAGACGGCAAGCTGCTAATAGACTCGTTGCCATGGAAACATTCAAGCGACTATTAAAATCATTGCCATATTCTGTCTGCTCATCTGTCACTGCAGATAACAAGATATAAATCTCATGTATAGGGTTGTTTTGTGAGTGAACAAAATACATTTCTGTATAAGTACAGACTGCAGACATTTAAATACAGAGATGTTCCTGACTGAGGATTGGGCTATGACTTAATAAATCAGTTAGGCGTATTAGTTACATTAGAAGATCTTTCGTTAATTTTCGGCCAATTATCTTGCCTATATTTTTGGCATTACAAAGCACAACCTGTAGGGAAGGCTGCAATAATACAGTGCTTTTTGATTCCCTACAGCCTATAATTATACATATTTCTGTATCATGATGTGGTTGAATATTATTTCTGGCGTACACCATTCAAGTATTATTTTAATAGACTACTGTTACACATACACATAAGTTTTGTTTTTTAAACCATGTCTTGTCCGTATTGCAATGAACTGTGGGCAACTGAATCAGTAAAGTCTACACCCCAAGCGGACTCTCTGGAAGTCCGCAGAAAGTCCGCTTTAGGCCCCTTGTGGACTAGTTGAATCACAGATTTGGACAGCCCTGTGCACTTCCAGAGTTCTCAGGAACGCGTCTGCAAAGTCCACGATTCTGCAAGTGCGGTGAAGTCCAAACGTTTGGATTCAGCCCCAGTTTTGTTTTCTCCACCATGGTCTTCCCCACCACACCTTCGTTGTTAGCCATTCCTTGTGTTTCCCTCCTTTTGCCTGTGCTCGCCTACTCCAGCTGTGTCTTGTTCTTGTGATTAGCACTCTGTAAATATAGACCTGTGTCTTTCCCTTTGTCCTTTGCCAGTTTATCTGTATTTGTCAGTTCATTCCCAGGTTTGGGTTGCCTGCCTGTGTTGATCTCTCATGTTCCTGGTTGGAGTGCATCCCTGCGTTTACATACATACAGTCTACGGTTTATCCCTGTGTTCATCATGCTGTCCTGGTTTGTTCTTAGTTAAGTTTCGGAGTTTCTTTCATTTGTACTGTGAGTTACATCTGCCTGCACCTTCAGTTTTGTTACCTGCCTGTTTTAGATGTATTTTACCACCTACATTAAAGCTCACCTTTGTTTCAATCCACCAGTCTGTTGGCTGCTCTGCATAGAGTGTGCCAGTAAACCCGGAACTCCGTTAGCGCTTTTAGCACTTCCGGTTCTCTCGTCTAAAAGTCAACCTGTTTTTTGAATGGGATTTTGGTGAAATGCCTCAAATAAGGTCTGTGGTTAACAAAAGCTTTTACGTGTCGTAAAAAAGGCGGTTGCTAACAAGTTGCTCAATACGACTACAAACCCTGTCGGGGACATTAAACGTCATCACCCCCAAACAGGCGAGAGTGCTGGCAGTCCGCCATTGCAGCTTAAACAGTCCGATTTCCCCATTATACAATGTTTTAAAAGTAAAGCGGCCGAAATCAGTTGAAAGCTTAGTGGCAGTGACGTCAAGAGTCATGCGACCGTGGAGTAGCCATGTAGTCCGTTAAAGCCTAACGTTAGCTTTTTACTTCTGGCGAACGCATTTAGGCTTCAAATGCGGTATGAAAGGTGTTCATATGTGAAGATTATCTCGCTTAACAAAACCTGTAAGTATCATAAACTTGTGTTAGCCACAGAGCTTATTTTCTGACATAATCCAAAATACAATGTAAAAATCACATTCACTTTCTCTTCCGGGAACCAGCGTGATGCTAATCTTCTGGGTTTTGACCTCAGCCCTGGCACACTCTATTTGGGTCCACATTTAAACTGAAATCATAAGTCTGAAAAATGTGCAATTCTAACTAATCCGACTGACATGACAATGTCATCACATCAGGTAATGTCTAAGTGCAAGGGTTGGAATCAGTTCAACTTGGGGAGAGATTTGTGGGAGTGGCTAATCATTAGTGCAGCCTGAACAGGCTGAAAGGCCAAAAAATGCCAGGACAGTTTTAGAGTTGATTTTTAGATCCATAAAATATCTTGGATGCGATAGACTTTCACTGTGGGGGGACACAGACCTCGGGCTGCAGTTTTGTGAAAGCTAATGATCCGGACTACAAGTGGATGTATAATTTGCCCAGTTAACATTAGTGGCTTCAGCAAAGAGTCCGCCAAGTTTTGTAGTGGCCAAACAGTGGAATTAAGTCTGTCAGGTGATGCCATGAGACTCAAAAAGACTTTTCCCCATAGACTTACATTGTGAAAGAGACATGTGAAAATCAGCTGATACATTTTTTGAGCCTAACACTCCCTCAAAATAAATTGTGTCAGTATCAGAATTTGATTCAGTCGGTTGGATAATACTTGAAAAGTCTAGAGGAGCCGCTTGATTCAGTTAATTTATCCACATTCAAGTTAAGGGCTGGCAAAGACTCTAGTGTGCTGCTCTATGGGCCATAGAGCACAGAAGCAGTGCCAAATATCTGGGTAATTTTATACGCAACAGTGAAATTTCTTTGGCCTAATAAACCACTGAGCAACTTCCACAGGAATTAACCGGTCCCCACCTCCAAAGCTGTATCCACTTCTCTTTAAACATCTACAAATGAGGCAACTGGATGTCTGGCACAATTAAAACACGAAATACTAGAAATGTTGACTCATGCAGTCCAGAGAGAAATTGTGTCTGAGGCAAGGGAGTGCACATTCTTTGTACCAACAGCTGATGGAACTACTGATGAAATAACGTCTGAGCACTTTTTCTGTAGCTCCTGTGTAAGCCCCCTCAGTCAAATATGTTCCTGACCACATGCTACAACACCCACCTTTCTGCACAGTCAGGAAGCCTACAGGTATATGAGTACATGAGTGCATGGCAGCATGGTGGCCACAGAGGACAGTGGGAGACGTTAACAGGTGGTGTCAGTGTGTGGCAGCACCTAGGAGAAAGCACTGAGACGCAGCACAGGGGGCGGTCAGATTGGCCAGGATCAAATAGCTTTTGGAGACTTCGGGGATTTAAAGAGTGGGAGACGACAAACAAAAACACTCTAAAACCTCAAAATCATACAATTAACAAAAAAGAATTGCCTTGGTGTGTTTGTGTGTGTGTCCTTCTGCTTGTTTTTGTTTGTACATCCCATCTCACCTTTGCCAGTACTTGTTTATCCTTGATAATGTACTCATAAGTGGTGAGTAACACGTTAAACTTTCCACTGCGCAGCTGGGGGACGAAGGCTCTTCTAGCAGCAGGAGACCCCTGAAAGCCAAAAAATGTAAAATCACAATAATAAAAGAAACATTTATTTTAAGCAACGCAGTTTATAAGTGCATTAGTAGAAACACACGTCCTGAGATTTTATGTTTTATGGGCAAGTAGTAAAAAATCAATTATGGTGATGTGGCTGCAAAAACTCACCTTGTAGGACACCTTCACGACTGTCGGTGCCCACTTGTCAAACTCATACACCCAGTTAGAAAGAGTTCTGTCAAAGAGAGACATTGTCATTCAGAAGTTTATTCTGAAGAATGTGAAATTCTTTTTTTTTTTAATTTGTTGTGTCCCTGATGTATAAGACAAAACAAACAGGGTATTTTTGCAAATAAAGAGGTTATGCTAACGAGAGGGGTACAATGATGAGGTAGGGACCATTGAGCCGTTTGTGCTCCATGAGGTATGTGATGAGGGCGATGGTCTGGATGGTTTTTCCCAGACCCATCTCATCTGCCAGGATCCCGTTCAGGTTATTGTTGTAGAGGGAAACCAGCCACTCCAGACCTTTAATCTGACAGACCGTAAGGGACAAAGTTTAACAAAGAATGTACCTCTACTATCAAGTACTTGAGCATGAAAAGGTTGAGAACATAATGTCATTGATGTGATTGTGATTGTTACCTGATACTGTTTAAGTTGTCCATTTATTAATAAACTGGACTGTTTCTCCACCTTCTCTGTGACAGCGTGTGCCACAGAATAATAAGACTGGAGCCCACGTTCGAACGCTGCACCGCTGTATTCGTCATCCACATCCTGTTTAGCATTTCTGCAGAGGAAGAGTTTTATTCAGTCATGGCATAAAGTCATTTGGTGGTTTATTAATACCTTAGGAGGACATGCATTTTTTGTTTGAGTGACCCTGAGACATACTCCATGTATGTACTCACTCGATGATGTGTCGTACGTCTACCTCCGACACGTCTTCGCTGTCGGGGTCTGTAATCTTCTTCTTTTCCTCCACCTGAGTAGCTGATGGATGGGGCTCCTCCTCTCCCTCCTGCCGCACAACTTGTCAGTGATTGGAGCAATGAATGTGAAACTGAATTCAAACATTGTCGTTTAAAACAACCCACCTCCTCCTCTTCCTCCTCCTCGCTGTCCTCACTGTCTGAGCGGGGAGCCACCTCATAACTGAACAAAATACATGCATACTCAAATTACCAACAGCCCTGTATCTGAACATTCAAACTGTACGAGTCATTCATGTGCACATGTACACTTCTAATGAATATTTTAGACACACACACACAAAGGCATTAAAGTCAACTAAATAAAAAAGAGGGCTTAAAGGGATAGTTCAGATTTTTATCTATAGTCAGTCTATTTCCTACAGTAGAAGGCGGTCAGCACACCCCCAGTTTAAAGAAGCAAGCAGGAGGACCACCAACCAAGCTAATATACTGCTGTGGACGGGGGCAGCAGCAAAACAATTTTAGCCACTTAAAAAAACCAATATAAGTTTAAGTGTATGCTATATTTAGAATATTTTCACCGCTTTGCCGTCAGACAGCCCTCTCCGATTGGGAACAGGAGCCATTACATCCATCTATGCTCTCTTCAAAGCCACCAGACTCCTTTGACAAAAACAGCAATTTTACCTTGCAAAACACAGGAGATGCTGGTCAACCACTGTCTTCATCACTTAGTTTGTATGTGTTATTGTGTGACTTTGGTGAATCCGAACTAACCCGTTAAAACACAGAAGTCACACAATAACACAAACAAGCTAACTGATTGAGGCAGTGATAGACCAGCAACTGTCATGCTCAGTGAGGTGAAATTACTGTTTTTGTCAATGGAGTCTGGTGGCTTTGAAGAGGGCATAGATAACGGCTTCAGTTCCTTATTCAAAAGGGCTGTCTGATGGCAAGCTTAAGCGGTGAAAATATTCTACTTATATCATAAATTTTAACTGCTATTGATTATTTAAGGTGGCTGAAATACATTTTGCTGCTGCCCTTGTTCACAGCGGTACGCTGCTTATCCTCAGTGGCTGTGCTCCAGCCTGCTTCTCTAAACTGGAAGTGTGCCAGCTGCCATCTGCTGTAGGTAATACATGAACTATGGATAAGTACTTCATATGACCCCAATTCAAAAAACCCATAACTATCCCTTTAAGGAGACAAGTAGCCATAATCAGAAAAGGCTATGTCGTTACCTAAATTCAGAAAGATTTATCCTCAGTACAACTCCACTTTACACAGTCTGAGTTGTAATTCAGGGGTAATTAGGCTCAGCTTTACTTTGAAGTAAATGATAATGTTAGCATGTTTACATGTGTTAGCATATTAGCTGCCAGACATGTTACCAGACATTAGCATGCTAACAAGTGGTATGTATAATATTTATGCTGCATTCAAATGGAACTTGTGAGCTTTTGTTTACAACATCAGAAGTCATGTACATGAAGTTGTGAACTCTCAGAAAACTTCAGTTTACAAGGCTGTAAATACTACAAGAGGGGGGCGCTCAAATGGACTGTTCTCGTGGACATGGTAAACACAACCCTATTTGAACGCAGCATTAGGGTTTTAGCGTGTTAGTACTATAATGTTTGCAAAGTAACATGCGTACATTTAAGATCTCAGCCATGTTATGTAGCAAGCCATGTTATGTAGCAAGTTAAACCACAGATCCAAACCAGTTGACAGTGCCAAATGAAAAGTCACCACTTATTTAGAACTGATCCTCTCTGGACCTTAAAATTCCACAGCAATTCATTCACTGCCAAGATTCAGCATTTCAATGGACTGACTGACACTGACGCACCTACAACCACAGACACACACATTCACCCTCTTCCTCTCTCCAGTCAGTCTCACCCAGGGTTCATCTCCAGCCAGGTGTCCAGCTGTCCAGCTTTAGGAGCATCCAGTCCTGTCAGGATGTTCCCACTGTCGACATGGATGACCTTCACAGGCAGGTCACTCATCTGACTCGTCTCATCCAGAGGCTGAAAGGGGGGAGGCACGTTATCTTTTAGACTGGGTTAGTTTCATTGGATCTGGGTTTAAATGGTGGCTGATTGAAATGAGACAACGCTTCAGACAGATTGTGTGTAGAAGTTAAGTTTACATGAGTGATAATTAAGTTGCTGCTGTTTGGCCAATTCAACAACCAATAAGTGTAAAGCAAATAATGATGACTTATGCAGTGTATGTTGTAGGAATATTATTGATACACTTTTACACACATGTAATTCTGCTTGGCTGTTAATTTTCATACAATTGTTGTCACCTGTGTTGGATTGTTACTTCTGCCAAGGAGGTTATGTTTTCAGTTCATCTGTTTGTCAGCAGGATTATGGAAAAACTCCTGGCTTGATTTTCAGGAAACTTGGTGGAAGGGTGTAGCATGGGCCAAAGAAGAAGACATTAATTATAATTATAATAATTTTAAAGCAGATGCGACTCATGGGGTGGATACACATAGTATTTTTACTTGCATTAACAATATGAGATAGTTCATTTGGCCTTAATGGAGGCCTGTGCTCTCCAAGTGCCCCTCTAGTTTACTTCATTGTTTTCTGATTATGCTCACATGGTTGCCATGGGCTACAGCCACTGGCTTTAATTTTGGTCACCTGTTGCAGATAAGTCATCAGTTTGTTTGTTAGTGCCACTTTGTGCCTGATGAAAATCTAGGGGATCAAAATGTTGCACAGTGACAGTGAACAAAAAAATCACTTTGGGAGCAAAGAACAGTGTGCAGATTCCTCTTTTTGCCATGACAACACTAAAAAGCAAAACATTACCCCCTGAAGCTTTGTGCGCAATTTGATCTATACTGTGTTTGAGAGGAGGTCTCTATGGAGACCACAGAAAGCAACAGAACAAAGGATCCCAGCAATGTGAACCCAGCATATTTTAAGAGTAAGTGCATCACAAAATCAGCTGCTTTAACTGCCTCTTCCTTACTGGAGGAGATACACAGTAATATACATATACACAAGGTTAACAAAGTCATCACTGTGGCTACCTCTCCATCAGGACCCATGGCAGGAGTCTGACCCTCAGCGTTCTCCAACTGTGAGACAAGAAGAAGTTGATTAATCACAACAGAGATCACATACAACTCTTAGGTGTAAAAGTCAATTATCACAAAGAGAGATCACTGCTGCTGGAGACTCTGTTTTCCATACCTTCTTCTTTTTTTTCTTCTTCTTCTTCTTTTTCTCCTTGAGGGCCTGTGCAGCTTTGTGAGCTCTGACCAGCTCGGTGAGGTTGGCAACATACTCGTCCGTTTGCTGCAGCAGGTAGGCCAGACGCTTATCCTTCTTCTGGTCAATCAGCTTACGATAGCCCTCCTCATCTTCAGCCTGGGAGGACAGACACAGTGTGTGTAGGAGGGTATGTACACAGTTAGGTGTGTGATATGTGTGCTTGTGTAACTGCGTCTGTGTGGTTTCTTCTCACCATGAGCCTCCTCATCCTCTCTTTCTCAATACGCTCATTCTCTTTCTTCTGCTCCCTTTCAGTGTTGGCGTGGTACGTGGCCACTGCTTTGGTCAGTTTCTGCATTTTGCCTGTGATGGAGCGATGGTACTCTTTGAAGTCTTTGGCGTGCTGCAGGATGCTGTTGAGGTACTCCTAAGATCAGAATGAAAGTATGGGATGAACGAGAGGAGTCAATCAAAAATACGACTTTTAATCTCATCAAAGGTAACATCTCGACTCTGTTTATCCTCTACCTGATGTTTCTGCCTGCGTTTGCGCTCTTGTTCAATCTTCTGCTGTTTCTCCAGTTTTTCTGTGATGCGCGCTTCTCGCAGGGACTGACGTTTGCTCCGCTTATACGCCTTCGCATCAAGGGCAGTCTCCAGAGCTGTGTCCCGACGCATACACACCACCACCTCTTGCCGCAGCTGTGGCGCGTACACACAAACAAATGTATAACATGGACTCATTATTAACACCCCCATCACAAAAACATGCAAAGTGACAGTGTGAAGCTTAATGATGTAATGCGTACCTGTCTCTGGAAGTTAAGCAGGCGGAGGGCTTTGAGCTCTATAGTAGCTTTGGTACGTAAATCACCAGCCAGAGAGCCCGGCAGGTTCTCCAGTTCAGCAATACGATGAGTGATACGAGCCTGTAACCTGAGGGAGTACTAAGTTGTATTTTATAATGAATTATTCATGCTGTCTATTTTTTGTACGTTTGATTTTGAATATCTTTGGTAGACAGTATACAAGAAAAAGCTTATGGTAATTATGTTGCACTTTTTGAAATTTTTATAAAAAAAATGAAAAAAAAATTAACACTCCAGCAATGTACTGCCTATGGTACCACATACAGTCACCATTTAACCCTTCAGGTTCAGTCCCTTTACACACCAAGAAATAGTAAACGAGATGAGGGGAACTGTGAATCCCCTGGCGTACCTGTACTCCCTCTCCTGCAGTATCTCCACTGGGTCAAGGCCGCAGGGTTTTTGAATGGGGGTAATGCGGTTCTGCTTTGCGTGGTAAGGCATCATGGGAGTAGGCTGTGCCGGCTGGCCAGGGGACTGAGTCTGTGGAGGCATTACTGGGGAGGCAGCAGGGGGAACTGAAGGTGGGGCAGGAGAGGGCCGACCAGTGGGCTGAGGCGGAATCAGCTTTTGGGGTGCGTTGGAGGGGGCTGCTGCGTTCACCATGGGGCCTGGAGGGAAGTGAAGTGTAGGGATGAAGGAAAGATCTATATTCAATGTACAGAAAATTATTATTTTCATGGAAAAAAACTATAAAGTGTTCCTACAAGTGTTTTTGGTTATGTTCAAGCAACATTGACACTGAAACCTAAAATCTTTTTCTGCACAGAAAGTTATACACCTTATGTTAAAAGGTAACCTCTGGAGTTTATGACTAAAGATAGCTCTATGGACCAATGTCTTTAAGAGTGAGTACCCAAACTGTTTGTATTGTGCACACTCATGAGGATGCACATGTGGGCAACATCGTACACATACCTGCTATTTGTTTCACACAATTTTGTTGATCAACCATTGGTGGTGGTGACACCAAGAAACACAGACTGCATGTACACTGAATGGAAACATGACTTTATGATTTTTTACAATAAAACTCCACAGGGCACCTTTAACTAGACAAATCTAGTTTGCGTGGCATTCACATGGACTCTTTTCGTGAACACGACAAACATGACCCCATTTGAAGGCAGCATCTTTATCATTACAGTATAATGGGGCAGGGTCTACAGTGCTGAAGCCATAAACTCTTATTGAAAAAATCCCAAGTTATTACTTGACAAAAATGGCCTCATATATTGGCGTACAAACATACTGTTCCTATCAATGTTCTTTCCTTGATTAGAGGTAATAGCTGGAGTTTATATTGACATACGTTTATGTACCACATACCTTCAGGCCAGGATTTGGGTGGTCCGTTTGGGTTTTGTCCCTGCATCCCAGCTGGAGTACAGGATGGGCCTGGAGGAGGCATGTTGGGACCCATCATTCCTAAAGAAACAAATATGTACAGATTTTCTTCAGTACATTTACACTACAAAATATAGAAATGAAATTTGAGAAGATGACTGAATTACAGTAAACTACAGTATTAGTAGTTTCAATGCGCCATACACGTACATATGTGTCTTTTAGGAAATAAGTAGGTATTCAAGAGATTCCCTATATACACTCACCATGAGCTCGACTGTAGCCTGACCCCATTGGCCCAGGCCCTGGTACTGGTCCTGCTGGTCCACCTACTGGCCCGCCTCCAGCTCCAGGAGCCAGAGTGGGCATGGGTTGCTGCTGCTGCATCCCAGGCATCGGCCTCTTCCCTTGGACCGCCATCTGGAGGTGTTCTGGCAGGGGCTGTCCCCGGGCCAGCATTTTATAAGCCATGATCTGGGCTCTGAGTTGGTGAAGCTGGTTCTGGTTAAAGGGAGTAGGGCCACCAGGGCCTGGAGGGCCTCCAGATTCGAGGCCAGATCCAAGGGTGGAGACACTGGGTCCCAGGCTGGGTCCAGGGCTTGGGCCTGGGCCGGAGCTACCTGGAGGGCCGGGCCGGTTATTAGGACCCAGGGTGTGTTGATCACCACTGGGGCCATCTAAGGGTGTGGAGGCTGAGCCGGGACCGCCAGAGGAGGAGGAAGAGGAGGATGATGGCATAAGCGGTCCAGAGGGGGGACCGTTTGAGGGGACAGGGCTGGAGTGGTCAGAGCCACCTAATGGAGAGTGATAACCTAGAAGAGACAGACAGACAGAAAGACAAACAGATACAGATGAAGGGGTGTTGGGTGGATATCGCTCACCTTGGGTCTGTAAAGGAAATATTTGTCTGGGAAGTATTTGTCTGACCAAGAAATATTTCCACACAATCCCTGTGAAACCATACATTCTTATCTTTACACTTTGGTATTTGTGGTTAATATCAAACATGTTAATTAGTGAGCTTCGATTCGATTTCTGAACTTGTGAATTGGCTGATAGTGATAACCAATCTGATACCACTGCATTAAAAAAAAAAAATCATAATTCAACAGCTGTATACTACTAACCCTGTGTGGATGTGAAATGATTGCTGTCATTGTTCCATGGCATGGCTCAGGGTAAAGTCTTTGTAAAATATGAACAAATACATACAGAGAATGAATGCAATAGAATTTATTTTATTATCTGGTTAGAAATTTTGCTAATGGCTAATGTTACACTTTTTTTAAACAGAAATTCATTCAGTTCTTCTTTGCTGCTTTAACACAATTCCTGTGGCTGCACAGCGCGATTTACCCTGTAGGCAGTTGTTTTAGAGCAGTAAAGAATTGAAACCCAGGAAATCTGCCACTTCAAAAAGTGTGAAAGTACTAAAGTTTACCAATAAATAACGTGTTCTTGCCGATTCCAGAACTAGCATTTTAGGTAGTATCAGAGGCATATCCAATACTGGTATCGGTATCGGAACAAGTCTAGTTGGTACGTGGATTTTGTACCTTTGAACAGAGCCAGGCTAGCTGTTTACCCCTGTTTCCAGTCTTTATGCTAAGCTAAGCTAACTGTCTGCTGGATGTAGCTATATATTTACCATACGTACAAAAGAGTGGTATCAGTCTAGTTTTTATCAAGATAGCTAATAAGCTGATTTCCAAAACTGTCAAAACCATCCCTTTAATAGAGGCCTGCAGTGTAGCTAGATAACTAATGATTTATTCCCCAACACTGTTCAAGTCTTGCCAGACCGTTATTGCATAATGTTTTAAACTCTGATTCACAGCCTGTCTGTCTGACTGCCCTGTTTCATTCCTTGTGTCCCTTTCTTATCGCTGGCTGTATAGCCATGCCACAATGTTGCCCCCTGATTGTAACCAGCACCCTTGTTGTACAGTGCCACTGTACAAATTACATTATTTTGACATCAACAGAAACACTTTAAAGATTTTTTTTTAAAGGTCATTAAGTGGCTAATGACAACAGAGACACTCCCTATGAGCCATCACAGTTAAGTCAGGCGTGAAGAAACTTGTCTTACACAATGCTGGAAAGGATGAAACTGTGCAAGATGACTGTACTCAGCATGCCTACCTTGAGAGTGTTGGTCAAGAGGACTGGGTGGAGGACCCATACCACTGTGCCCGCCCTGTCTCATAGTCAGTCCCTTCATCTGGCTAAAGCGGCTCTCCTCACTCAAGCTCTTCTCATGCATGCTCTCCATGGGCTGTGGCAGAAACAAAACTAAGTCAAAATGAAACTACCATCCTGTGGGGAAATTATTAGGTAGTTTCAGTTGAAAACATAACACAGTTCTGCTGGCAAAAAGCACATTACGTTAAATAATAAAACAGTAGTAATATTGTATAAAATGTAAGAAGCTGTGAGATAATGATAGTAGCAATGTGAGCACATATGAAGTAGACTGCATTGTGAGAAATATGGAACAGGAGTATGGGGTTTTCAGCATGTATGGATTAATGTGCAGCTGCAGTTGTTCACAGGTATAACAAACTAATAATTGCTTTCTCAAATATGGATTAGCATTAAAATGTGCCTGTGTCAGCATGTGCCCATTGTGAATTAATGTAGCCATAATGGAAATTTGAAGTGAAGGTGCTGTCACATATAATTTGGGAGACCTCTGTTTCCTAAAGGTTTTGAACTAACAGTGATGGTGTGTCTCAGCCAGATGTTAGGTGTTTGTGCGTCCTTACTTTGTGCAGAGGGTGCATATTGTCCTGGCCATATCCAGAGGGCCCTGGCTGAGAGTGTCCAGACGAGGGAGGACCAGGGCTGGGGCCCATCATACTATGAGAAGAGCCTGGGGAGGGCCCGGGGCTGGGGCCCAGCATAGCCCCAGGAGAGGGACCCGGACCAGGGGAAGGACCTGGGCGAGGGGTGCCTCCCATGGGGGGATCTGGCGTCGACATCGCCCTGGATCTCCTGCTCCTGGGTGAGCAGCAGGGACCTGAGAGAAATGACAGAGAAGGTGAGAGGGAGTGACACAGAGGATTAAAGTGTGGAAGTGTGGCAATGCAATATGCAAAAGTTAGTGATCTAAATTAGCATTAATTTAGTGGTTTGATTGGACAAAACTATTGGAAATATCTTGAGGGTGAGGCTGCATGTCTGCCTTCAGCTATGCTCCTCTGATAAAGTGATGAAGTGGGAGCACAATCTTTGCAAGATATAGGTGAATTTTGTCCAACGCCTATCAGATGAAGACTCTCCATTCTCCTGCTCCGCTGCACCAAATCACCCGCTGCGCGCATATGCAATTACAGCTGCAGGGTCCACCACTGCACTTGAACTGAACACGAGGAAATACAGTAAATTATGCACATGAGCTCATGCTACTGAGAATTTCCTCACTCAGACCATGAAAGGGTGTCTCGTTAAATATAAAAAAGGGGAATGGCGGACTGTGCTTGTGCGACTGACCTACCCGCATCAACAGGACAGGCGGTCCTGCGTGAAATTCTGCGCTCCCGTGTTGATATTTGTGGGGGATAAAAGAAGACGCAGCAGTTGACGCAATTAGTCTACTCACCCTCTTAGTAATCTGCCTTCAAGCGTTGATTTGTTTCACCGACGTGGCTCGAGCGCCCCCTCCACAGCCTCTATGACCGAATGTCTAGTCACGGCTGTCCAGCAGTGCGCATGCGTGCGCAGCTACAGCAAGGCTCCAGCCTGTACTGTAGGCTCATACAGTGTGAATACATGGAGAATAGTCATTTACAGCTATACTCAAATGTTAATTTTAACATACACCTTATAGAATATAAGCATATGAGTTGTATTATGCTTATATCAAACATTTAGAAGTATAATTAAAATGCTAAAGCCATCAAATCTTTAACTTTTCCTGTTCTAGTATTTAAATATTATTTTTATGAATAGAACTGTTAAACCGTGATAAATTGGGGGTTATGATGAACAGTGTAATGGTAATTATTGTAGTAAACATGGGTGTAGATTTTGGGGGAATGCAGGGATCACATCCACCTCAATCAAGCACAAGCATTTGTTTGATTTTAACACAAATAAAGACTTTACACCATAAACTGATGCAGAAGGGGCACAAACTGGTGCATAAAAATTCACCAGAATGAAGGAAATTAAGTGTTTTATGCTTAAGACTTTCTGGTGGAGGACCCCCAAACCCCAGTTTCCTATGTGTGTCCCCCCTCCATGATGAAACAAAACCTGTGCCCTTGGAAGTAAATGAATGATAAAACATATTATGATTCAGTACTTTCAAAGAAAAAAAAAAATCAATCAAATATTATAAATTTTGAGTGAAAGTAAGAGTAAAATGAGCCTACACGCATGGATGCATTAGTGAGAGGGTTTACTGGGCACAGGTCCAGGGCCCAAAGTGTAATGCGGGTTACCTGGCCCTCACCTGCAAAGTGTCACTAAAATTAAAACATATTGACCAGGAAAAGATTCAAAATGAGACGCAAAGGAACTGCAAAAAGGGGCAAAACAACCACAAGGAGACACAAAATCACCAAAAAAAAAAAAGATATTAAATTAGCAAAGAGACACAAGGCAACAACAGATGGTATGAGGACTACAAAGAGATGCAAAATATCGACACAAAATGAGGCTAAACAACTATAACATGTGCCTGTCTTGCTCCCATGTAGGAGGCTTTAGCATATCTGTGCTCAGGGGCCTACTAGCCCTGTCTGCACACAATCACTTTTTTTAAGAAATGAGAAAGTTAACTGCAGTCAAGATTTGTTTTTATATAAAAGTTTGTTTTTACCATTTAGGTATCTTAGGATTGCTGCAAAATCTAATGGGGTTCAAAGCTGCAAACATAAAATATAAGCCTTTTCCACACAGGATGACTTTGACAGAATAAAGATAACGTGTACATGTATTCATTTATAAGGTCTTTCTGTCTTCACACCCTTTGTTGAGTTCAAAGTAACAAGGTCACAAGACAGGTTAGCTTCAAAAGTTGAATGGTGGAAGAGTGACTGGGAATGACCTGTAAAACAAACTGATGTTAAATACACTCCTCTGAGGGAATTACATTACGAAGACGAGCACTGCGTTTTGTCTGAGCATCAACAGTCAATGCTTCTTCTGCGGAGATCAGGTGAGAACAAAACAGAGTGTATTTCTTCAAATCTGCTAATTTACAGAATATGAGATACAAGTAAAATGTGATTCCAGTGTTTGAGGTTTAATCAGGACAACAAACCAAATAACAGTAGTAGTGCAACTTGCAGTAGCCTTCATGTAGAAAGGGGACAAATCAAACACAAATGACATTGCAACAAAAGTTTGACGGCAAAAACTCCATTCAGCTTACGCTGGTCTTTCTGACTGTAAAACTTTGCCAAGTAAAACCCAGAACCTGACCTTAAGTGAAAAGAGCTGTTCTGGGTTTTACTGTGCAAATGTATCCAGATAGCTTTATAATCCTGCTCCATGGGACAAGCAACAGTTTACCAGGTAAAGATACACATCCATCTCCAACTGAGGGGATCATTTCTCTTCACTCCCAACCTGGGAGCCTGAGTAACTCTTCAGGAGCACCGTGAGAGCAGATTTCTGGGAGTGCTTTATATTCTTGATGACCAATCATGAAGTGCTATGTGGCGAGATCAAGGACCTTGTCATCTGTGTGATATTCAGGCCAGACTGCAACACTAGAATGAATTTACATCTGTTCAAGATGCTCTTGGAAGAATTTGAAACCTCTGTGAAACTCAATGTGACAGACTCCTAAATACATCAATACACTTATATGAGACAAATAAACTACACTAACCCCACACTCACTCAGAAGCAAACACACGTTCATAAACTTGATAAATAAATCTTAAGAATGAAACATAAAAAGATGTTCAGCAGATGGTATATCACACAAGTCAAGAACAATATCAGGCACCTCGGCACCTGACCAGTGAGCTAATCAAATATCATGTAGACCACACATCTGTCAGCACGTCCAGTTCAGACCAGGACAAAAACACAGTAGTTGAGTGTATCTGAAGTCCTTTAAAGAGCTTGATTATACTCATACATGCTCGACTCTGAGGCTTTATTAGGTGTCTGATAAAGTGAGTCAAGAATGCTTCAAGTACTTGAAACCTTACTAACCCTGATCCATTTTGAAGTCATGCCTTTGCACAGTTAAATAATGCTCCAGCCGGTACCCATTAATGCCTGTTAGCTTATAATACCCATCCACACAAAAGGTGATGACAGAAGCCACATAGTTTTTATTTCTGTTGACCTGTGAAGACGATAAAGCGCAAAAGCGTCATGTCCACCTTGCAGCTGCAGCGTCAACAGAACCAAGTCCTTCCCTTTGAAAGGAAATGAGGTGTCCTATTCTGCCCCCTAAAGGTGAGAGTTGAGAGAGCATCTTCCGCTGTGCCTTACAGGAAGACAAACTCATCACTGTTTCTTCTGTTATTACTCCTGCCCAGTTTGCCCGGGGGCAGAATGTGGGCTGCAGGTCCACTGTGATTGCTGCTGTGACCCTCAAGTCCATAATCCTGACCCTGGCCCTCTACGAAGGTAAAGATGGGGTATTTCTCCTTCGATGACGATAGGGCCTGAGAGGATGACAAAATCATGTCAAGAAAATGTCCCAGAATGCCACAAAGTATTTTACAAGTAGACTGACTAAACAAAAAAATGTCATGTCAAGAGATTACATAAATATCTATCAAATCAAGTGCTTTTACATTGTTTGTGAACAAAAAATAAACTTGAGCTGAAACCAGTTATTATTTTCATTATTGATGAATCTATCACTTTCACAATTAGTTGATGTCTTCAGTTTGCTCATTTTTGACCCAAACTACAAAAAATAAAGAAATTCAATTAACAAGATATAAAACAAAGAAAATCTGCAAATATAACTTCTTAAAAATTAGGTTCCTTTTTTTCCCCAAGTCTGCCAAGTCAAAACAAGAGTCAGGTGCCTGTTGTTATGTCTCCAAGGTTGCATAATGTCATTGTGTTTGTATATTTGTGTATCATGTGCTTTAAATTTTTCTGTGGGTGCTTGTAGATCGCTCTGATCCCCCTCTCAGGTAAATCTGCTGTGGCAGCTTCCTGTGGAGTTGTCTTGTATTTAGGTGCCCCCTATGCTTCACTTCAGAGTTCAATCTGACTGAACTTTGACACACTAAACTGTGAGGCTCCCCATTGTTCAGCCAGTTTGAAAGAGGCTGTGGGGCTGACTTCTGACTCAGGAAACATTGTTTTGTTTGTCGTCTTGTTTTAGAACAGCATGTTCAAATACTTCACGCAGAAGAGAAAGAACACTCACTGGCTGCAGTGTGTGTGAAAGACAGTGTGTAACCTTTATAGTTTACAACTCTGTAGACTGCTGTTGTTAGCCCGCTAGCTATGCTATAGCTCCTGCAGGTTGTGTTTACAACCCTACCCACACTATTTCCTGTCTTACCCGCTTTTCGCCACACCATGTGAGTTATGTTACCAGGGAAATTTTGGGCTGCAATAGTCACAAAAATATGTCCTTAATTGTTTCCTCATCAGTTATCCTTGACCTCAGTGGAAAAGGTCATGAGATGAAGGACATACTGCATGTGAAGGAGAATTTCTAAAAACTACAGACACAACTGTGGTGTTATGAGAATCCAACGGCACTTACACTTGTATGTTACACCTATGTGACTGTGGATATTATTGACCAGGGTCTGTCATTGTGAAACTATAATGTTTTGCAAATAAACTACTGAAAGAGCATCTTAGATACTTTGTCCTGTAATACAAGGACAACCTGGTCAAAGATATTACTTCATTACCAAGGTTGGAACTCAAATTACAAAAGGAATATAGGCTACCAGTCATAAAAGTGAAACGAAAAGGTTGTCACATTGAGAACAGCTGCTCACGCTTACCCTCCTGTCCACTCATATTTATCAACATGAATTCAAATTGGAAAGATTGTATGAAAATATCTGTTGAATTTATGCAAAATAGGCATATTGTTTGTCTTCACAATTGGTGTGTCGTTTTAAACGCTGCTACTGCAAATGTAGGACAGCATTATCTCCTTTTCTTTGGTAAAGGATGGTCCAGTGTATGCTGTGCTTAAGGAGATAGCATCTACCCTTAGCATTTAGGGAAATAACCAGCTTCTATTATGGCTGCCACATAGATACTTCCAGGTTATTTTAATCACATAGGAGCCTTTCTAAGACTATTTGACCACAGCCTATGTCCTGCCTGCTTTTGTCCATATCACGTGAGTAAACTTCACCAAGCACATTGTGGTCTGAATCCAGCTTAATGGGCTGTAGGTGAGCCACTCAGATTGAATGAATGTACAGGTGAGTTCAGCAAACTTCCAGCTTGATGACATATTTAAAGGCCATCTTCCCCAAGCTCCTCCGGCTCTCCTTTCTCCATTCCCAGCCAGCATGCTGTGGTCTACATCTTTGTATTGTACTGTATTGTAAATAGTATCATGCAAGTATCCACAGCAGACCTGGGATCTGTAGCGGTGTTCTCTTCATTTCATAAATGCTATTAAATTTAGAGTAAGGACATAAAAACTCACCATACTGACAGCAGAACATAGAGACTCAAAGTCCTTCTTGTTCTTGGCATAAAAGCCAATGGTGCAGCTGGGA